AATAAATAAATAATATTTTCATGTTAATCAGCTGTTTGTAGATTGTCAATCACATTGACATGTCTTAAATTTCTCTTAATTCTCAGTTTAAACTGGAGATTGATGAGAAATAAGAACAGCTAAATAACATGCCGGGGTTAGTGAGTTATTAAAAATCCCAAGCACAGCTGACGGGTCTAAATTCTTTTTCTAGCTGCATTCTTCTATTGACTTAGATTTACAGTCTATACTGTCTTGGAGTTTTACCTGTATTGTCCAAGATGATAATAATTTTTTTTTCTCAAGAAGGGTTTTGATTTTTCTAGTAAACTTCTATTATTTTTATATTAATGTAAAAGTCATGGGGAGCTCTGTTGGCCTCATGGCAAGAAGCAAATTAAAAAAAAAAGTCATGGGTTAAATGCTGGCAAAATAAAAATCTAGGCACCAAGAGAAAATGTCTTCCATTTTTCCAGGCATAAGACTTATATGACAAATTGCACCATACTATGTGTAATCTTATTGTTCATTTTGCATTCTATATCATGAACATTTTTCCATGTCAGTAAACATCTACATTATTTTTCAAGAGGGAACTCTTCATTAATCTGTGGGCAAGCAGTTAGTTGTACTACCTAACCAAAGGCAGTTATTTCTAACCCAAAAGCTGCTCAGAGGAAGATAGGCAGTTTCCTCCTTTTTTATTTTATAGCCTCTGGCAACACGGATGGAGAGTTAGTTATAAGCCAGTTTCAATTCGGCTGCATAGAACAAGTCTAAGTCTGCATATCAAAATTGCTGTAACATGATTTGTTTACATTGCCCTTTGTTAGAAATACTCCAAAATTTACGTCTGATCAAAGTACTACAGATTTAATCACCCGGATTATCCAACACTGATGAGTTCCAATCCAGAGCTACAATAGCGATTGATTTTTTTCCACTTCTAGCTGTTCGACTTTTCTTGTCACAAAGCCTGACCAAGTAAGCTATTGGCCGGGTTCCTGAGCTAGGGAATGCTGCCGCTGCCGTTAATAGCTGTGTGAACAGTCCATCTATGGGCAATAGGCCTCCAGCGGATACCTGCCTGTTTTCCTACTCAGGCCTGTGCCTTTCAGGCGGACCCTGAAATTCAAGATACATTCCCAAGCTTGGTGATGAAAGAGTCCAAGGTAGGAGAGGACGCCCAGAGTTCTCGGGTTCAGAGACTTGACAAAACGTCTTCTCCAAAAATTGTACTGGATTTAGCCGGAACTAAGAAACCCCAGCCTGCTCCAGGTGGCAGAGGTGCCTGCCCTGGGGACACTGGTAGGCTGCTCCTCTGGAATGTGTATTAAATGCCTGCAGGGTTTGGGCGGGACAACAACATAGAGGAGAAATTAGGATTTTCTCTTAAACTAGAAGAAAAAGGTTTCCAGGTAAAGAAATTATTTTTCTGATCATTGAAAATGCCTCCTGGCAGATTCCTGTCTTCACATCACTACACAAGTGACTAATATTTCTGAAATGGACACATGGCCTGGTGTTTCAGGCAAAGGTGTTTCTGCTGGGTCTCTGCCTGCCTTGTTCCCGTTCCCAGTTCCTCCTTCAGGGAATAGGAAAATGCGCCCGATGAGCCAGGGATTTTAAAGCAAGTTTGTTCCCTCTGCAAGGAGGCCCTGGAGCCCAAAATTATGAATGGGATGCTAAACTAACTTCTTGTCTGTTGATTGAAAGTAATGACCAATTGAAACTCCCGCAAGCAACAGTGGAATTTCCTGGAATCCGGCCCCGTGTCTTTTATAAACCTCCAGTAGTGCAGCCTTAATGTCCATATAGTCACGCTTTCCTCCTAAAATCTAAGCAGCATCCTATTGTGAGAAATGTGCCTGTGGTAAGGTTAACAACTATCCCTTTGTATTCGTAAAACTACAAGAGGGGCGGGGAGGGAAAGCCATTGTCCCTAATCTCCCAGCAGTGGGGATATCTGGTGCCTCGGATATGGGGTGGACTCGGAGCTTAGAGACACGCTCGGTTCCTCAGCTTTAGGCCGATCCCGGCGGTGGGCAGGCCGGGAGGCTCCACTCCCAGGCGCATGGGCGGGCATTTGTCACCCCTTGTCCCTGGCTCGGGCGTAGTCAGAGATTGCAGGGAGCCCCGGAAAGGCGGAGGGGGAGCAGGCGCAGGCGGGCTGGTGACTAAGCCGGAGCGCGGGGGCGGGGGCAGCCGGGGACTCAGCAGGAGCGCGAAGGCGAGGGCTTTCCGGGAGGCGAGCGGGGCAGGCTGGGGTTAAGTGGGCGGTGCCGCCGCGGCTCCGCCCCTCCGCCCCCACCCGCGCCCGCGCCCGGCCGTATTTAGCACGGTGGCGTGAGGCGGGTAGCGTCTTTCAGCAGGCTCCGGCTGCGGTCTCTCAATAGCGCAGGCGCCATGGAGCGGCCGGCGCCCCTCGCGGTGTTACCCTTCTCCGACCCCGCGCACGCCTTAAACCTGCTACGCGGCCTGAGCCAGCTCCGCGCCGAACGTAAGTTCTTGGACGTCACCCTGGAGGCGGCGGGTGGACGCGACTTCCCGGCGCACCGGGCCGTGTTGGCGGCTGCCAGTCCCTACTTCCGCGCCATGTTCGCCGGGCAGCTGCGCGAGAGCCGCGCGGAGCGAGTGCGGCTGCACGGCGTGCCTCCTGACATGCTGCAGCTGTTGATAGACTTCAGCTACACTGGCCGCGTGGCGGTGAGCGGCGACAACGCTGAGCCACTGCTCCGCGCCGCCGACCTGTTGCAGTTCCCGGCGGTGAAGGAGGCGTGCGGCGCCTTCCTGCAGCAGCAACTCGACCTGGCCAACTGCCTGGACATGCAGGACTTCGCCGAGACCTTCAGCTGCGCGGGGTTGGCGAGCGCCGCGCAGCGCTTCATCCTGCGCCACGTGGGCAAACTGGGCCCTGAACAGTTGGAGCGGCTGCCCGTGGCGCGCCTGCTGCGCTACCTTCGCGACGACGGTCTGTGCGTGCCCAAGGAGGAGGCCGCTTACCAGCTGGCGCTGCGCTGGGTGCGCGCCGACCCGCCGCGCCGCGCCTCGTACTGGCCGCAGCTGCTCGAGGCCGTGCGCTTGCCCTTCGTACGCCGCTTCTACCTGCTTGCGCACGTCGAAGCCGAGCCGCTGTTGGCGTGCTACCCGCCCTGCTTGCGCCTGCTGCGCGAAGCTCGCGACTTCCAGACTGCGCGCTATGACCGCCACGACCGCGGGCCCTGCCCCCGCATGCGCCCACGCCCCTCCACCGGCCTCGCCGAGATTCTGGTGCTCGTGGGCGGCTGCGACCAGGACTGTGACGAGCTGGTCACCGTCGACTGCTACAACCCGCAGACTGGACAGTGGCGCTACCTGGCAGAGTTCCCCGATCACCTGGGCGGTGGTTATAGTATCGTGGCACTGGGCAATGACATTTATGTGACAGGTAAGTGACGGAGACTAGCCTTAACTCCAGTCTCCCCTCCAACCCCCGGAAAGATGGGGGGAGGTGTCACTGGAGCTGACCACTCTGTCCCTGGTAAAGAACATCTACCTAGAGAAAAAACCCACAGAACCTGATCTCTCAGGACCTGAATCCAAGCAGTCACTTCCCCTTGCCCCACCTCACCCCTCAAAGGACGCTGCCAGACTGGTATCTGTGACGTTTACTAGGGCTGCTCCTTCCAGCCCGCAGAAAGGGCCCTTGTGTGAACGAGGACAAGTAGTTGCTTGTGGGCTTCTGTTCGCCCTGCAGCTGAGCCCGCCTGGTGAGCCCGATCCCTGCAGGGAGGTGCCCGTCCTATTTGCTTGGAAGGTCCTAGGGCCTTTACCCCACACAATGGGTGCTTTCATTTTTATCCTGGAGGAATGCAGGGACAGGTCTGGGGTTGACGCCCCGTTGAGACAGCCAGCCAGCCTGTCACGGGGATTTCTCTCTCACTTGGAGCCCCACGAGACTCCTGACTCAGTGGTTTGTCACTGGTGAACCACGGTCCCTGGCTCGGAGGGCCTTACCTAAGATCTGCACTCAGTGTTTAGATGGAGAGCTCCTCAGACTGTAAACATAGTCACATGTTCTAAGTTTTCTTTCAGTTACTTGGCCCAAACCCCAAAACACTGCCGAGTCATGGTGGGCGGTCCAAGCCTGCCAGTCCGGGGCTCTCCCACTTTTTTATTAAGGATGAATACCGTGGGTCTGTGAGACTACCTTCCCCTGGTGTGGGAAGGGGCGGTTGCTGACCACTTTATAGGGAAAGAATCCAACAGCCAGGCTTCTGTGGCTCTTGTTACCAGGCAGGAGAGAGGTTCTGGTCTGGGTAGCACATCCCTGTGGCACATTCAGAAGGAAACTTACCTCCAGAGTAAATGTGCTGGCCTCTGTAGGGCTCTGAGCTGGCCAGAGATGTGCTGCTCTAGGCGTAGGCCTTTGGATTGCAGAGCAGTCTCCATTTTCTACTGGAATCCATCCTTCTTTCCATTCTGAGGTTAGCCTGGTCTTAGTTGGGGTCTGAGGCCCCTCTGAAGTCTGGCCAGTAGCAAGAACTTACTCTCGGAACTGGCCGGCCTACCCCTACTTTGGTACAACCGTCCATAAATGTCATAACTAATCCTTAGGGTCACCCGCCAGCTGCCTGTTGGGGATTCCATGGTGTGAGCATGACTGCAGCTGCCTTTAACACCCGTCTCGTTTGCAAGGAAGAAGGTCTGCAGAGTGTACTTACAAGTGTTAGAATTTTGACGTCTCCTTTTCAGAGCCGAGAGCTCCAAAAGCTTAGAATATGCTACTGCTCTGCCAAGAGGGACCTTTCTGGGAGAGGAGAGGGGTACAGCTCCCAGGATTCCTGGGGTCCTTGGGATTTTGATGTCTTAAATAAAAATTCCAGTTGCTTTCAAGTTGATACCGACTCATGGTGACCCCATGTGTGTCAGAAAAAGAACTGCATGCTGTAGGAGTTTTGGTGATTAATTTCTTTTTAGAAATAGATTGTCAAGATACTCTCTGGTGGTGCCTGTGGGTGGACTTGAACCTCCAGCCTTAGGAGTAGCAGTGCTAGCATTAACTGTACTATCCAAGGGCTCAGGTGTCCTAAGGAGAACTCAAGTTTTCCTGTATGATTAAACACAGCACCGCTTTTTAAAAACTTAATTATTGAAGCAGAAAGGAGCCCCAGTCTTGGCTGCTGACCAAAAGTTCAAATCCAGCAGCCCTGTGGGAAAGAGACCTGGAAATCTGCTTTGATAAAGACTACAATTTAAAAAACCTTGTTGTCATACAGGGTTACTAAAGGTCAGAATCAGTAGCATCTAACAAGAACAGAGCATGGCAATAAAAGATTCAATAGAAAAAATATGCCATGTACTTACATATTTGATGACTTTTTACTAATAGAACATTTCCATGTGCTGCCCTAAAAATCTCCTTAAAAGAAGTGACGAGGTGAGCTCTAGTGGCCTAGTGGCAAGAAGCTGCACTGCAATCCTAGAGGTGAGCGGTTCGAATCCACCAGATTCTCTGCTGGAGAAGAAAGGACAATCTCCTCCTGTACTAGTCAGATCTGATTTTATGGTACACACACAAAAGATAATAAAAATAAAATAAAATTAAAAAAGAAAAAAGAAATGACGAGTGTTCCCACCCAACTGAGGGGTACTTAGTGATGTGTCTGGAATTGAGAGGTACAGGGGGTCCTTTGGCCAGCAGGGGCATAAAACAGGGTGTTGTTTTATAGGCTGAAGTTCTGTCCCCCAGGTTAGTGGTCAGAACACATATTGGTTTAACCCCAGCTTGGGACACACATTTGGAGAAGGTTTAGGATGATCTCACCATCTCCATTGTGTGCCAAACAGGTGGATCTGATGGCTCAAGGCTCTACGACTGCGTATGGAGGTACAATTCGAGCGTGAACGAGTGGACAGAGGTGGCACCCATGCTGAAGGCCCGCGAGTACCACAGCTCCTCGGTGCTGAACGGGCTGCTCTATGTAGTGGCTGCAGACAGCACAGAGCGCTATGACCACACTGCTGACTCTTGGGAGGCCCTGCAGCCCATGACTTACCCCATGGACAACTGCTCTACCACGGCCTGCCGCGGCAGGCTCTATGCCATTGGCTCCCTGGCCGGCAAGGAGACCATGGTCATTCAGTGCTACCATCCAGAAACAGACCTGTGGTCTCTGGTGGACTGTGGCCAGCTCCCACCCTGGTCCTTCGCCCCCAAAACTGTGACACTGAGCGGACTCATGTACTTTGTCAGGTGAGTGTCTGGCTGCTGATTTGCTGACAGCCCAGTGTTTACAGCAAGCCAAGCCTTCTCTGTGCTAATGAACACTTCACAGCTGTTTTCCCCATTTCAGAGATGAGGAAACTGAAGCATATGGGATAGGAGTCCAGATCTCTCTGAATCTAGAATGATTTTGATCCATCCCATTTCCTCTGGGCTTTTTGGCTATCTACTAAGGCCAAGTTGTGTTGGGGTTAGGTCCTTTCAGAGAAACTTTCTGAGGTTCCTTGAGCTTTTAAAAAACGCCTATAGAGAAGAGCTTATTTATGCCCTTGAGTCTGAAGCAATGTGACTTTGACCTTGTAATATGTCCAGAGTGTGGAGGTCATTGGTCAGGCAGGTGGGGCACCAACTCCCACTCATGCTGGGAAGGATCCTTGCATGTTGAGTTTAAATGGTACCAGTGGCTCCACGGAGGCGATGCCTGGTGAACTGCTTCCGTAAAGATCGCAGCCAAGAAATCCCCACAGAACAGTTCTACTCTGCAGCCCACGGGGTCACAGTGCGTCTAAGGGCTGAGGCCACAGCAGCAGCCAGTTTAGGGTTTTGGCATGTTGAGCATTTTCAGCAGGTTCTGCCCTTGAGCTGGAAGACTGTCTAGCTTTCTTCCTGTCCTGCCTCCCGCCTGGCTGAACCCTAATAGCAGAAGTACTTATCAGAGTGTGTGGAATGAGCAGGGCTCTTTAGGGGACCTGCAGCCGCTCAGGCGCTGCTGTTGAACCCCTGGGGAGCAGGATGCCAGAGCCTCCGTGGGAGTGATGACTGTCACTGCGTGGGGAGGCCAGGTGCCTGTGGACAGGGGGTGAGCCCAGAGCTGCGTCGCTCTGGTTTTGTGATTACGTTTGATTGCCACAGCCATCTGATGAGCTGGACACTAGTGCTGTCTCTGTATACAGATATCAGACCTAGACTTTGGGGGCTGAAACTACTGATGGCGCAGGCTTGAGCCAAGGATGCCTAACCTAGATCCCCAAGTGGAGTGTCAGCTGTGACACTGGTGACTGCACACAATGGGTCTGGGCTGGGCCAGAGACCACACGGAAGTAGAGCTGGTGGTCACTAAGACCGTCTGGTCAGAGCCAAATGCCCTTTTCTTAACAGGGACATAGGCGCTCCCCACCTATCCTGTACATGTCTCTGTGTGTGTACCTACATGTACCCAATAAGTGTGTGCATGCATACCTGCTGGCCCACAGCCTGCTGAAGCTCCAGGACCAGGAAAGAAGGGAGAGGCATCCCATTTTTGGTCTGGGCTTTGAATTAGAAGCTAGGTGGAGACAGGCTCTCTGCTCTGGGGGCCCCACCTCAGTCTGAGCAGCGCTTGTCTTATTTGTCCCCCAGTCCTAGCCCGAGGTTCCTCCCAAGGAACAAGCTGGGCTTTCATGGTAAGCAAACGCCCCCGGGAATGATTATGGGGTTTCCTGTGTGTGGATAATACCATATGCCCCTAAGAAAGCCGGGAAGTCTCTGCCAGCTCCTGAGACTGTTATAAAACAGCATCTGACCCTTCCCCGGCCTGCCCTCCCCGCCTTCGTAAGTGTCCTCAAAGTGGGGGGTGGGGATGCTATAAATACAGCTTATCAGCATGCCAAGGCCTGCACCCCGGCCCCTCGGCGACAGTTCCAGGACAGGTGTCTTTGAGAATGTCCTCTCCCTCCTGAAATCCTGAAGCGTGATTTGCCCAAGGACAACTCTGTCCACGTCAGGCTCATCCGCTTCTCTTCCTGGTCTGGGTCACCTTATGAGCCATCTCTTGTGGAATTATTAGGGTGGACTGCACCTCTGAAGGTCTAGTGGGAGGAGCTGGGCCCCAACTTCTTCCCTAGAAGCCCTGACCTAACCTCTGTAGTAGGAACCAGGTAGAAAGGATGTAGGATTTTCTAGTGAGAAGTCAGGTCTGGTCTGAGTGAAAGTTATTAAAGCAGCACAGAGAAGTTTCTGGGAGCTGAGTGTCTGAGTCTGGTGCTATCTCAGTGGTGGCCCCAGAGGTAGCCCTGCTCATAGCACTCTGGTGTTTCATGAGCTCTGGTGCAGAGAACAGATAACTTGAACAGATAACTCCTGGCTCGAAGCGCTCTCCCCATGGGCAGCTTCTTCTAGGAGGTGCAGCATGGGGGCCACGGCCCCTTAATGATCATATTCGAGTGGCTGCTGCTGGCTCCAGACAGGGGCCTGCTGATCGCTCCCTCTGAGCAGCGACTCCTTGGCTGGGATGAACCAGGTCCAGAAGAACCCTGTTTACTTCTGGCTGCAGCTTGGGGTTTTTGCTGGGGTGGGAGTGAGAGGCCTGGGCAAAACAACCTTGGAGGATCTACTGTTTTGTTATCATCATGGTATGACCCACAAATTAAGAATGGATTTGGAAGGAAAATCACTTAGAACTTGTGGAAAGTACAGTAAGTTCCTGTTTCAGTGGCCGTAAGTTAAGGTTTGTTGGGACTTAGCCCATTTTATGTATTGTTTGTGGTTGCTTTTGTGTCACAACAGAGTTGAGTAGTTGGAACGGAAACCATCTAGTTCACAAAGTTAAAAATATTTTTATTCTGACCTTTGAGAAAGTGTTTGCTAAGTTCCTGGGGCTATTGTAACAAATTGGGTGTCTTCAGACAATAGGAATTTATTGTCTTAGGGTTCTGTAAGCCAACAGTCTGAAATCAAGATGTCAGCAGGACTGTGGTTCCTCTTAACACCCTCGGGGAAGCTCCTTCTGGGGGTTTCCAGCAGTCCTGGGGTTCCTGGCATGTAAATTCACCTCCTCAGTATCTGTCTCTAACATGCGGGCTTCCCTCTGTGTCTCCCAATTCATAACATGAAGGCCCAGCCTAACCCAGTATACCCCGAATCTAACTTAATCACACACCTACAAAGACCCCATTTCCAAATAAAATCACCCAGAAGTAGGGGTTAGGATGTTAACATACCTTCCTGGGGACACAATTAGACTCATAAAATAGGTGATCTGTGATTACTGTTACTTTTCTCCTGCTGTGTTAATTTATTCAGATTATACAAAAGGCTGTGCCATTGAGGCTTTCTTTGTCAAACAGGGCAATGGATCCTGACCCGAAAGAGTCCTACTGATTTCTTGAGTCTGTAATCATGACTGTGGCACCAGCCACCAAGGACACAGCAGTGGATGGGCAGGCGGGCATTCAGGCTCATGGTGGTGGCCAGCAAGTGGTGCTGGGCACATGGTTTTGTGAAGCAGGTCAAGAAGTCTGATCTGGACTGGTTGTCCATGAGGGGTTCCCTGAAAATGAAGCTTAAGCCAGCATGGGATGGATGAGTAGGAGATCTGGGGGATGGTTGGGGAGTTTTTTGGAAGCTTAAAATGGGACAGAAAGTGCTGAGTCCACACTCTGAAGGAAGCCATTGTGGGAACAGCAAGCAACAGGGCAGCTGAGGGCATAAGTAGTCAAAGGGTGTGTCCTTCAGGCTAGGGGACAAGGTTCAGTTCTGGCCTCAGGGCCTAGGGCTGATGTGGGCGCTGGAATTGCTACCTGAGAACCAGGATATGGTACTCTGTAGCCAGTGGGGTGCCAGGTAGCCCAGAGTGCTTCCTCCCCACCCTAACCAGCTGCTCCCACACTTCCTCCCCAGGGACGACTCCGCCGAGGTGGATGTCTACAACCCGGTGAAGAACGAGTGGGACAAGATCCCGTCTATGAATCAGGTGAGTTTCCCGTGTTTCGTCAGGAATCCAGGCCAGACTTGTTTTTCAGCTGAATTTTTGTTGTCATTTGACAGACAGCGGTGGTGGGCAGGGCCCATGTGGTGCCTTTAGTGGGTGTTCTCTTACTTACAAGGAGTTTCGTTTCTTCTCGAAGAACTTAAATAAGATCGCAGGCCAGGGAGTTCATCATTCAGAGGGTACTCATTGAACACCGATGGGTAGGCACCTGTGACAAACAGGGGGACTGCCCTCATAAGAGAGAAAGGAGGCCTGGCTTGTCACATCGTGGGGAGATGGCAGTGATCAGTAATAGAATGCCCCATCAAGCATCTCGTGTAAATACATGGTAAGGGACCAGAATATTGGGGTGGGAGCAGTTAAATCTGCTATTTAGTCCTCACTGCTAAGTTGATTTTTTGGACCGAGACACACACACACACACCCCCCCCAAGTACCCTCAGGAGTGAGCCACATAGTTATTGGGGGAAGAGTGTTTTAGCTGAGGGACCAGCCATGCAGAGAGCCTTTGGCAGGTGTCCTGGTATGTACAAGGACTAACCAGCTGATCTCAGAATAGAGTGAACAGCAGAAGAGATGAGGTCAGACAGCAGGTCTCTGGGGACTGACCCACTCTTCTCTGCCCCCAACCCCATGAACTGATCCTGGGTGTGGATTTATTGAGTGCCAGTGTATCTAAAATAAGATGGGAATGGCCAGTCAGCTGTAGAGAAGGAATGCTACTTATGGCCCGAGCCTGAAGGTAGTGGGAGCTGGAAGACATGGCTGTACCACTGGGCACTTTTCCTAGTCTCGGACACATGATTGCACCCTGCCAGATCTTGCCATCCTACTTAAAATTCCCAACTTAGTTTCATAAGACCTCTGTGTGGCTGATGTCACTATTTATGACATCACAGCGTAACTTGTTCTTCACATTTGGCATCTGTAACTTACTTATTTCCCCTACAATAGGTTACATCCATTTATAGCAGGTTTATAAAAGCTGGACTAGGCAGTCTTTCTGCTTTGTCAGCCAGGTAAGTCTCAGTTTCCCTCTGTAAGGTGGAGAGAGTAGTAGTCCCCAACTAGGGCTTGTTGGAGTAGTCAGTCAAGACTACTTGGAAAGTCTTCCAGAAAGTGCCATGGCTGCCCTCTGCAGGACTGACAGGTTGTGTGGGATGCCCGTGGCCAGCTTGGGCAAGGACTCCACATTTCCCTCTCCTGCCTCCCCTCACTTTGCCTCTCCTTGGCCCACAGGTGCATGTTGGTGGCAGCCTGGCTGTGCTGGGCGGGAAGCTGTATGTCTCTGGTGGCTACGACGACACATTTGAACTCTCTGATGTGGTAGAGGCGTATGACCCGGAGACTCGGGCATGGAGTGTGGTGGGGCGGCTCCCGGAGCCCACCTTCTGGCACGGCAGCGTCAGCATCTTCCGCCAGTTCTTGCCCCAGGTGTCCTCAGGCTTACGTGGCTTTGACCTGGACAGTGGCAGCCACGAAGGCCGTCTCCAGGCACCACAGAACCTGGACGAGCTGTACTAGCCCTGGCCTGGCCCAGGGAGGGCCTAGGGGCAGGCTACCCAGCACCTGCGGGAGGTTGGACAGCAACCTTCCTTTGTACATGAGGACAAGTTGGGCTCCCCAGGTGGCTTACAGGGGCTCACGAGCTACCACCTGGAAGGTTTTTGTGTACTTTGGAGCCCAAAGTCATGGGTGCTGAAGCCAGAGCCACTCACCGGTGGCCCTCCCTTGGCCAAAGAAGAGCCGCCCCATCCAGCACTTCTGACTTGCACCTGCGGATCCCCAGCTCTCCACAGAGCACCCCCCCCACCCCGTTGCTGCCGCCACCTAGCTTACCTGCTCCCACCTTGGGAGAGGAGGCCACCACCTTTGGAGTGACAGGTATAAGGAACCTGACATGGTATTCCTGCATATTCCATATGAGGACCAGCATATCCTGGCCACAGGTGGCACCCCAGCTCCACATCCAGTGCCAGCGCTCTCAAGCCAGGGTAGCTCTTTAGATGGAGGACAATCTACCTACCTAGTTCTGTGCCCTGCTGGGGTCTCCAGCCAACACTCTTCTCACAGAGTGGGCCCCAGAGGTAGGCACAGGGCAATGAGTGACCTTAAAGGAGTCTTTGTATGTCTAGAGCACTCTCCCATCCACTCCTCCAGCTGCTGTGTCCACAGCTGGCATGGAAGCCTATGCTGGGCCAATGTCCTGCTGATGAAGGAGGGCAGAAATCCAAGTGCAAGGCCCTCGCCGAGCGGCCCTGGAGCCCAGCATGTGAGCACACATTTAGACTGGGGCCTCCAGCCCAGGCGCTCACTGCACCTGCACGTGAAGATCTTGTTACCTGGACGGGAAGCCTTGGTGACTGATTTCTGGGGTTGGCATTGCCTATAGTTCAGTCCTTCCCTAAAGAGAAGCTCAGAACAGGGGTATACTTTATTTTTAAGTGCTGTACCTTTCTAGGATGACATAAGGTTCCCTCGCAGCTCAGGACCAGATCTGGAAGGTGGGGCAAGGGGAGCCTTTAGGAAACATCATGGCTCGGTGAATCCCTGCTTGTCTCCCTGGGGAGTTTGTCTTAAGATACCCAAAGTAGGGAGCTCTGGTGGCCTAGTGGCAAGAACCTGCATTGCAATCCCAGAGGTGCATGGTTTGAATCCACCAGATACTATGCTGGAGAAGGAGGGACAATCTCCTCCTGTATCAGACACACACAAAGATGCCCAAAGTAGGCTGACTGTCCTTCCTTCCCAGACAGGGACACTCAGCCTGCACAGTCCCCGTGAGGCAGTGGAAAGTTTACTGAGTTCTTTTTCTCAGCAGCCTAACATTTGAAGCACCAGGAGAAAACAGATTTTGAACCGTCACTTACATGGCACTTAAAACCCTTTTATTGGCGATGGCGCCTGGTCCCAGGAGCAGCTTTATTGCTGGAGTTTCTCCTGGCCCTGGCGGGCCTCCCAGTTGGGACGCCTGCCTGCCTGCCTCCTCTTGCGTGACAGTGAGGAGCCTCTGGCACTGCTTCAGTTCCTGATGCCTGGCGTGAGGGAGGGAGCTGACTTGGCCTTCTGGCGGTTAGACCAGCCAGCTGTCACCTCCCCTCCCAGTGGTCATTCACTGTGTCCACTGCTGCTGCTGAGCTGTGCATGAGCTGTCGAGTCAGGTCCTGGCTGAGGACTCGTGTGGAAGAAGATTGGAACCTTCTGTCCAAGGGCTTGTTTTGTGCCCCATTCCTGTGCCTGACCTTGGATCCTGGGCCTCTGTTTCCTCAGGTCCCTTACTCCTCACCCCTGTTCCTTGGGGTGTGTTCTCAAAGTGAATAAAGGCTTGCTTACCCTGGTGCCTAGAGATGACTAGCTCCCTCAGCCCTCACTGCATGGACTACTTCTGGCGTTAGTGCCTTGCCCAGTGGGCTGGGCCCTCTTAGAAGCTGTCTGTACATTGTAGGGCTTGCCATCGTTGACCTTACAATCAGAGAGGCCTGGGCTGCCTGTGTGCCATGGCTTGTCCCTCCCACAGCAGGGAGTGATTAGGCTGGGGCGGGGGCTGCTTCCTGATTATGCCAACTCCCTGCTCTGGATCTGTAATAAGAGTCAAGCACAGAGCTTCGGTTTAGAGAAAGTGCTCCCATCACTTCTAAGAGCTGTCACATCCAGTAGATGTGACAGCTGCTAGTCCAAGGTCAATTCTAGGAGGTGGGGCCTCCTTCCCAAGAGAAGGCTCTTGGGGCCCTTTCTTTGGGCTTGTCCCTTAGAGGTCCCTTTAGAAGCCCAAGAAAGCACAGTAGGAATTGCAGTGGAGACTGACTAGGCATGTTCTGCACTTTGTACTTGTAAAACTCTTCACCTTGAAAAGGCTTATGCGGGCTCTCCAGAGATCAAGGGTTTTCCAAGGGCTGAGTTGGGGGATGATCAAGTAAAACTTGCATGGGGACAGGGATGTTTCAAATGCATTCTTGATCCCATTTCCCCCTACAAAATGTGCCTCTCTAGCTTATGCATTCAGGCAGACTGTTACAACATGAGCCCAGGCTGATGGGTGTTTTCTGGAGTCAGAAGGTGTTCCTTGGAAAACTTCGTGGGAGTGAGGTGGTACAGTGCTGGACTGCAGGGTGATCAGTGCCCAGCTTTTCCCCTGCTGACCGCTTTGTGACTGACCAGCATCTTTTGGCACCACATGGTGGTTCAATGGTTAGGAGATGGACTTTGTGTCCCTCTCTCCTGTGAGCTCCCCAAGTCTTTGCCATCAAAATACCCTTCAGAAACCTCTGCTCCTCCTGGCTTATAGGCTGCAGAGTTCCCACCTCTTCAGGAAGTCTGCACATTGACCTGGACAGAGACCAGGTCAGCTGGTGTTAGTGTTGTGTGTACAAAACGTTTCTGTCTATAAGACAAGTTAAATTATGGAGATCGTGACGAGTATTTAATGGTGACCTAGTATTCTATATTTATATGGTTTTAGAGGTTCTCTTACATAATGAAGGACACTGGCCCTCCAGTGTCCACATCAAATTCCACCCCAGAGCATGTGGGGCAGAGCTGGGTATTTATTTTTGTTTGTTCTGTAGGCTTACATGTCCAGAATCTTATGTATGGTTGTAGGATACCTTCAAACTTTTTGAAATAAAAAATATTTCCTATATATTGGATGTTACTGCCTCTGTCTTTATCTGGGAATCCTCTGGGATGAAGCCAAACATGTAGAGGAAGGATTGGTTGCCAGCAGCAGTGTGAAAGGATCCCAGTACTGACAGGGACTGGGCAGGTGTGTAGAGCCCGAGGCATGTGCTGTCCCATAGGGACAAAGTGATGGAGGCTCTTTGTCTCAATCAGAGGTATGTCAAGGTATGTTGTAGTGGGGAGAGAAGTCAAGCCCAGGAGACACCAAGGGAGGCATGCGGCTTAAGCCTTACAATATCCACATGGAGAAGCTGCCATTGGCCATCGTGACCCAATCTGGTGTGTTAGCCTGTGATAGAATGATCATAGACCGCTGCAAACCTTGACTTGTGAGGTGGAGCCCTTAAAAATGGAAGATTTTCAAGACAAGCAGAATCCATGTGAGCCACCAAGCTTAGGAATGCTTTTCATTTCTCCCTCAGTGATCAAAGCACAGAAGCAACTTTAGCTAAGGAAGGGCCAGTGCCTGGGCTTGGAAGGGAAATAACTTGAGGCTGTAGTTTTAATACTATTCCCAAGACAGATCCGAAGCAGCTTATAACCTATATAGGAAATTAGGAACCAAGCATGCCAATTACTGCAAGTGAATGCTGTCCTTAAGGTTGAGCTTGCAATGGCCAAAGGAAAAAGGAGAGGAGATGGTCAAGATGGGCTCTGGATCAGAAAGGCAATGTTGTCCAGCCTCACACTTGGGAGGAATTTCATGTGGAGGCGAAGTTTCAGGAAGCAGTAGTAATTCCAGGCTCTACAGCGGTTCAGGTCATGGCCATCACTGTTGCTGATCGAGTTTATCCATTATTCATGCCAAGCACTGCCCTTCAGCACTTAATACGGGTAATAACCGTATAAAAAGAACAATAGTTCTTTTTATTTATTCATTCATTCATTTTATGTGTATACCGTCAAACTGGATCTGACGGGTACAGGAGGCGATTGTTCCTCCTCCTTCAGCAGAGCATCTGGTGGATTTGAACCATGCACCTCTGGGATTGCAGTGCAGTTTCCTACCACTAGGCCACCAAAGCTTGCCGGGTTATTCTTAGATGCCACTGAATTGACATTACGAACAGATCTGAACTATGCCCTATCTGGAGTCATCCTCAAGATCTCTGTCATGCTCAAGCCATGTGGTCATGTTTTCCTTCTTTTTACTCATCTACTTTTCCACCATAATGTCTCTATCAAAGAACTGGTTCCTTCTGAAAATATACCCAAAGTAAATAAGAGTTTCACACCCTTGCCTCTAAGGAGCACTCTGGTTACATTTCAAAACAGATCTGCAGGTTCTTTTGGTAGTCCACAATATATTCAGTCCTCTTCACCAACACTAATTCAAGGCATAAATTTTTCTGTAGTCCTTAGTCACTGTCCAACTTTCAGATGCATGGGAAGCAGCTGAAGACCATGGCTTGGATCAGGTGCACCTTGGTCTTTAAATTGCCCTCCCTGCTCCTTAGCCCTTTGGAGAGGTCCTTGACAGACTTCCCCAGTGCAACACAGCTTTTGATTTCTTGACTGCTACCACCATGAACATCGATTGTGGATCCAAATTGTGGATCCAAGTTAAATTGTTGACAACTTCAATCTTTTCTCCATATTATGATGCTGCCTCTTAGTCCTGAGGTGAAAATTTTTGTTTCTTGATGTTGAGACAGATACAACTCATACTCAAGACTCAAGTCTTTGATCTTCTGGAGTGTTTCCTATCTTCTGCAAGCAAGGTTGTATCATCAGCATAAAGCAGGTTGTTGATGATTCTTCTTCCTCCAATCCTGATGCCACATTCTTCTTATGGCCCAGCTTTTTAAATGATTTTGTTCTGCAAATGAATTGAGAGAAAGTACACAACCCGGATACACACCTTTCCTTTTAAACCAGGAAAACTCCCTTGTTCTGTTCAGCTGCTGTTTGGTCTATAGATAGGTTTCACATAAGCACAATTAAGTGCTCTGGGATTCCCAGTTTTCTCAGTGTTAGCTATAATTTATGATCCACACAAATGCCTTAGCATAATCAATAAAACACAAAGAGCTTTCTGCTATTCTCTTTCAGCCTACATCCACCTGACATCAGCAATGATATCCCTTATACCACAGCCTCTTCTGAATCGAACTTTAATTTCTGCAAGTTCCTATCTGATATTTGTTCCATTTCAGCAGTTTTCTAATAATCTTCAGCAAGATTTCACTTGCCTATGATAATAACATTGTTCAATAGTTTGCACATTATCATTGGATCATTTTAATTGAAAGTAGATTGCGACTCCCAGGCATATCCCACAAAATAGGTGGGTCACCGTAGGGGCAACTTCTAGTCAGAAATTCTCAAATTAGTAGTAAGGATCCAGACATCACCCCAGATTGTAATTTTCCTTACTCATAAATTTAAGGCATTTGGATCTTTGGGAATGGGGAACAAATATGGATCTGGGTATTTTAGGTGGGGCAATTTAAAAACTCCTCCATTTGAATATCAGAAACAATTTTATGGGAATAAGAAGACTCCTAACAATAAGAGAACAGTGATTTTAACAGCAGACTGAAGCATACTGGAGATAGGATGGTATAGGATAAGGCAAGGTTCACATTCATTGTTCACAGAGTCACCGAGTCCTAGGCAACTTGTCAGCACCCAGCAACAAGGAGCTTTGACTAAACTGCACATGGCAGAGGTGATGCTACCCAGCTTGAGAAGCTAGATCATACGCCGGACAGCTTCAGCCTTGTGAGACTTGAGGAATACCAAGAAGCAGTAGAGAGGAGTCCAGGTCTTGGCCAGCTAGGCTGAGGTAGCAGCCCAGAGTGCATGCCAGTTTATCAGGCAGTGTGGGCCTCCTTTACAGCAGATCCTTAACCCCAATTTTGTTGGTTTTGGTGTTTTCTTTCTTTTCAACCCCCAATTTTGGATGCTGTGATACAGCTCTGGGTAACTGTAACCACTGTTTTTCTCATCTGTCTATGAAGTTGTTAGTACTTATTCCATTAAAAGTGAGGAAAGGGTGCTCGCTTCGGCAGCACATATACTAAAATTGGAACGATACAGAGAAGATTAGCATGGCCCCTGCACAAGGATGACACGCAAATTCGTGAAGCATTCCATATTTTCGACCCTGAAATTAACCAGTCTGTAATGAAGGCTAACTCCTTTCACCTACAAATTTCGTCTTTGGATACAAAGCTAAGTGGATAGTCCTTACGGAGGGACTGTTTAAAAAGAGGCAGGGAGAAGAAAAGAAAAAAAAAGTGAGGAAAGGAAGCCTGGAGCAGTTAGTTACTAACTTGTTGAGCTGGGAAGGAATTTAAGCACAGGTGCCTACGTCCTACGTCCCACAGAACACACACATAAACAAGCACAGAACATACACAACTCCACATGACTGGAGTCTGGAGACTAGGGCTGCAGCCAGAGCCACAAGGCCTCTCACCATGCTAGGCCTGGGCTTCTGTCCACTGGGGAGCAGGGAAGGACACCTCTGGTGAGCATGCTCCAGCCAGGGTCTAAAGCCCGCCTGGCTGCAAACCTGATCCTCCACAGATCCCAGCAGGATTGACTGAGTCTTTACTAGCCAACAAGTCAGGAGTCCTGACCACTCTGCTTTGACTTCCAAAGACAGTGATGATTTCTACCCCTATCTGGCTATCACAAGTATAAAGCAGCAACAATAATGCTGTCTCTATCTCTGGACAGAATGAGGGACCAAAAAAAAATCAATGTAAGAGGGTCCAGGTTCACAGTCAGAGCCCCCAAACTACCATCCCCTGACATGTGGGGAGCCACAGACTGAGTTATTCTCTAGAGGGATGAAGCAGGGAATGGGGGTGAGGTGGATCACTGGAATCTTGACCTGAGAAAAGGACCGATGACTGCGGTAGAACATCAAAGTCCAAAGTCATGTGGTTTATTTGGAGATGGGGCCACAGTGGCAGGGTGGACTACGTGTCCGAGTCCTCAGGAATGGCAGCTGTGATGATGAGTGAGGGCTCCATGACACCTGGGCCAGCAAAGTTCTCATCTGCACACAGTCTCTGGCCAGGGAGCTGGGAGGCCAAGCCACCCTGGGCCAGGGACTCCACGATCACCTCGGCTGAGCCCACCTCCAAATCGGCGGGTGGCTGGAGAGCCACCACCACCATCTTCTCGTCCTCAATTATCAGGTTCCGGAGTTTCCGCTGCCGCGGGTTATAGTTCTCCACTCGGTCATGGATCTCCATGTGTCTCCGAAGGTGAGCCTGAGATAGAGAATGCAGGAGCTCAGGGCTAGGGGTGGAGGGAGTGTCGGGCTGGAGGAAGAAGGGTCTGAGGTAGAAGGAGCTCAGGGCTGGTGGGTCTGGGCTGAAGGGGGGTTCTGAGGGCTGGAATTGGGGAGCCTGAGAGGCTTCAGGGAGCTTGGGCTCCGTCCTCCATCTCACCTGCCGAGTGAACTTGTAGCCACACTCTGTGCACTCGAACTTCCTCACTCCTTTGTGCCTCCTGACATGCACACGCAGCTGCTCCACGGCTGCAGGAGGAAAAGTAGGGTGAGGAGCCTCCAGATAAGGGCAGTGGGCCAGGAGCAGGCCCTTAAAGACTGATTACTGGGAGCCCCAAGGCTCATGGGGAAACAGGTAGAAAGCAAGGTGGCTGAGGAGGATTTCTCTGCCAGTCCTGGGCACCCACTGCTGTACGGAACCTGGCCAGGGCTCCCCAGTGCCACCCTGAAATCACTACCGTACTGGGAGCCCACCTCCACTTTGGTGAAAGCAGCTCTACTCTCCACTGCTCAACCATAAAATGCTAAAAGGCCCCACCAGCAGAGTTATAGTCCTGAGAATGTTTTTGAAAATCAGTACTGTGACCCATCTCTCCTTTGAAGCCTTTTACCTCACACCAGCAGGAAATGCAGGTGACCCAGACCTCCCCTTGGAAAAGACAAAGCAATGATCAGCAGCCCAGGTACCTTTGAAGGTTTTCCCACAGATCTGGCAGAAGTGAGGCCGGCCCTCCTGGTGGCGACTGGCGACGTGTCGCAGGAGTGGCCCCTTCTCGGTGAAGCGCTGCTCACAAAACTCACAGCTGAAGGGCCTCTCGCCAGTGTGGGTACGGTTGTGCTTGTCCAGGCTGGCTGCAAGGACAAGTGAGGGCTCAGCTGCCTGGCTGGCACTGGGGCCCAGCAGTAGCAGGGCAGAGCCAGTCTCACCTTGGGTTCGGAAGGTCTTGCCACAGAGGTGGCACTGGAAGGGCTTCTCCCCTGTGTGCGTGCGTAAGTGCATGTTGAGGTTGGCCTTCTGGGTGAAGGCATGGCTGCAGAACTCACAGACATAGGGCCTCTCATTCCTGTTCAGGCAGGAACACAGGGCAGACATGTCACCGAGGCAAGCTGCTCCTGCACCCTTGCCAGACCCAATCTATGTCCTATCGAGGCCCCACCCACCTCCATCTTTACAAAGCCAAGAATCACAGGACACTAGGAGGCCGAGGTCCAGGAGGCAAAACCGAGGATCACAAATTTGTCCATGGAGACACAGAAACCCCCTCCTACTCTGCCTAGCAAGCTCTTCCTCTTCTCTAGTTTGTGTCCTAAGAAGGAAGCAGGCTCTAGATATGGGGATAAGGGCACACTTTGATCTCAGGTGAATATCCGAGTACTGCCTTGCCAGCCAGCCAGCAGCTGGCCCAGGAGCTGGAGAGGAAGACAGCCCACACCTGTGCTTGGCCTTGATGTGCATCTGCAGACCGTTGCGGCTGGAGGCCCTGTGCCCACACTCCTCGCACACGAACAGCTTCTCACCACGATGCTTGAAGGCCTCATGCAGCTGTAGCTCTGTTCTCGACAAGAAGCACTTGGCACAGGTGGGACACTGCTGGGCAGAGGGGGCAGTGAGGACAAGGCAGGGCTCCCATTCCTCTCCACCACCCACACAGCAGCTGCCAGCCAGCCAGCCACTGTATCCATGGTTCTAGCCACCTCACCCCTCCAGTCTTTAGCATCAGAGCAAGCCTGACCCTGGTATCACGTGGCACTTACGGCATGGGGTTTAGGAGCTCCATGCAGCTTGATCATGTGGCTCTGCAAGTCCTTCTTTTGCATGAACTGCTGGGAGCAGGAGGAACACTAGAAAATAGGTCCTCAGTCACCTCAAGGCAATGACAGAGGCCTGGCCACCCAAGCCATCAGGGCAGGAACAGGTGGGCAGGGCCCCAGATGCAGGGAGGCTCATCTGTCTGGGGTGAAGAAGGGGCCAGGGGCATAGTTCTCAGTGAGGCTAGAAAGAAAGAGACTAAAAAGGATGTCAGGGAAAGTGTGACACCACCCTCACAAAGAGCTCAGCAAGAGGGGTCCTGGGGCTGCACCTCTCCATCCACACCCTACAGGGAGGGCCTGAGCCTGACCTTGTAGGGCATCTCCCCTGTGTGGGACACCATGTGCACTCGCAGCTCCATCCTCCGACGGAAGGTCTCTTGGCACACAGAGCACGTGAAGACCTGGCAGTGTGAAGGGCAAGCAGGGCCGGCATCAGGGGGGGGCCTCTGCCCATGGCGGCAGCCTCTGCCCGGGTTTCCACTTGCTGCTGGGAGGAGTTTGCCTGGGGGAGGTGTGACGCTCGGGTGGGAGAGGGCAACACATAACCAGCCTGCCCTGACCACCACCAGGGACCGCAAACCCAGCACAGCAGGCCTTTCTCCTGCCAAGCAGGCCTCTGGGGAAGGGAAGGTGTGGTTTTGATGAGTACTGCCATCTGTGGCTGGTGATGGGGCAGGAGAGGAACCCAGCCAGGAGCCTTACAGCAGCTGCTCCCTGTGTATACACACTCTTTCTCCAAAGCCCAAAGAGGAGTGGACACACCCACAGTCTGCAGGAGCCCCTCCTCTTGGGCTTGTCCTTGTAAAGCAGGCCCTGGACCATATAGCATCTGAGAACACTGGGGCTCTCCTGAGTCCACAGCCCTACCCCAAATGGAGCTCTCAGGCCAGCATGCCCACCCACCCACAGGGCCTGGGCCAGCTCCAAGTACCTGTTCTGAGCGGTTCATACAGTTCCGGGCTTCATGCTCCAGGAGGTTCTCCTTCCGGAAGTAACACTTCCCACATTTGGGACATTCAAAGGGTTTCTCTCCAGTATGCTTCCTGCCAAGAGTAGCCATGGAAGGTTGGGGGCTGAAGAGGCCTATGGCCTCTCCCCGCCTCCCCTAGTGCCCCAGGGCTAACCAGAAGACAGGAGAAGGGCTGTCATGAGACCAGCCCAGCCTCACCATGGGGCTCAGTCTGATCCCAGAAAGCCCCAGGCAGGGCAGGCCCCTTCATCTAGGCTGAGACATCTGCTGCAGGGTAAACCCAGAATGCCTGTGCAGTGGAGATCCTGCAGGACTACAGCATAGAGCAGGCCTCAAGCTCACCTCCTTAGCCTCACCAAGCTGCCACCATCACCACCCTGACCACAACAGAGGCTGAGAGTGATGCAGCATGCTCTTCAGAAGCAGAAACAACCCTGGAGTCCTAATGACCTGGAGAAACAATTCAGTCACCCTGGAACTTCATGGGCTCCATCCACCTTCAAGATATTGACTTCACCTCCTCTGACAACTTAGGTGTGGCTTTGAGTCTCCAGCCTGGTCACACTGCTTCCACTCCTGGCCTGGTCTGAACATAGTGGTTACAAGGTTCAAGTCACAGTGCATCCCTTGGCTGCTCGAAACTCTGCAGTTACTCTGTCACGCTGGGAAGGACCCACAGGTGCTCTGTCATCTACTCTGGCGTGTGGGGTTCCCAGCTTTAGTTCCAATGCAGCAGCCTGGCTCCAACCTCAAGGCCTTTGGGGCTTTCACTCAACTACCTTTCTCATCCTCAAGTCTCTGCTCCAATCTCACTTCTCCGTGAGTCTACACAAGAGCATCTCTATTTAAAACTGCAAGCAAGAAAGGAAAAGCAATTTGCTCTCTACACTTTAACTCAAATCACAATAAAAAATTTTTAAATGAAAAATAAATTTGCAACCACACCCACCCTGAACCCTCCAGCCTGAAGCACTGCACACTTTTTTCCTCTAGTGCTTCTCATGTTCCATATACTGTAGTTTCCTCAATGGCCACATCTGTTACGTGCATTGCCCTGCTAGGAAGTAACTCAAGAGAACTCTGAGTTCACTAAAGTGTCCTGAATGCCCAGAGAATCTTGATGGTGTGTAGAATGAAGAAAAGTTTAAATGACCCTTAATCTCAGGGTTCTTTCATAAGCAGCACATATATAGCACCTACCAACCTGTCAGAGGCCAAACACCTTGCTCATTCATGCTGCCATGTCACCTGTCCTTGTCATCATGCTTCCCTTCCAGTCAGGTCCTAAGTCCAAAATAAGGATAAGAGCAGTGCTGTGCACCAGAGCTTCATGCTGGCGGGGCACCTGCAGAGCTCAGGCAGCAGCACTCAGACTGCCCCAAGCTTCCTCCCACACTGGGATGTTCTCAAAACTCCTCTTGGTGGCAAACATCCTAGAAGAAAGTAGAGGGACACAGGGCACTGCAGCTCCAGCAGCAGACTTTTATAACCTTTTAAATGTGTGCCTCACTTGACATGTTCAAGAAAAAGCCCTGTGGGGAAACAGTGAGGTCATGGGCTAGGGTACTGAAACGCATGTCCTTTAACGTGCCACCCCGGTGGCTCCATAAACATGGGAGTAACATGTTCCAGAGAATTCAATAGTGATGAAAATACTCCAAGTCCACACTGGCCAAGCGGCTGTTGAGCATTTGAAATGCAGCCAGTATGTCCTGAGGAACAGAACTTTTATTTACTAAGTTAAAACTGCCACATGTTGCCACCTATTGCCTTCCTGGACACTGTAACTTGGACGTATGGTCTTTTTTACAAGCCACTGACCTGTGAGTGTGCGCCTGCACACTCTGCTCGGGGGCAGCTGCAGTGAAGGGAGTCGTGACATTCTCTAGGGAGGAAGGAAGCTCAGGGCAGTCTGCATTTTACCTGGCTTCTCCTGCGCGTTCTCTGAGCATGAGACTCAGGTGAAGACCAACATTTCTTCAGAAACATGGATAGTACCCACCCTAAAGATCAGCATCTTGGCCTAAAGCCCAACTACTCAGTTTTAAAGACAATGAAGGTCAGAACTCAGAGCCACACACTCCTCTCACCTCGTGGCAGAAGCCAGCTGGGTGTCAAAGTGCACAGAGGGTGAAACAAGATGCCCACAAACCTATCCCTAACCACAGGGTTGTAGTCAGAAGCAAGCAGTGGAAGGACTCTAACTAGATTGAGTCCTTGGTCCCTAACAAGTAGAGATGACCCAAAGCCAGCATTCAGTGGGTGTGAGAAGGAGTTGTGGGCACACACAGCCTATGAGTGGGGTGTGCAGACCCTTCCCCCAAAAAGCAAATGCAAAAAAGGAACAGAAAAGGAGAGTGTTTACCTGTTGTGGACTTTCAGATAGTATTTGCTGAGGAACTTTTTGTGACAAGTGGGGCATTCGACTGGTCCCACTGTACCTCTTCTATTCTCCATGGGCTCGGCCACCAGGGAGCCTAAGCCCAGGGCCGGCTCAGCTGCACAGGCCTTTGTGATTACATCGGACTTCGTCTTAGCAGACACAGTCTCAGGCTCAGACACGTAATCACCTTCCCCATCATCCTCCACTTGGACCACCACTTCCCACTACAGCAAAGAGGCAGCAGGAAAAGTAAAAGTCACCACCAAAATCAGCTCCATTTCCTTTCTAGACCCCAACCTAATATGCCCCAGAGTGTCCTCAACAGTGACCTTCAAGGTCCCAAGGAAGGCAAGGGGGAAGTGGGAGCCTGAGGAACTACCTGGGCCCCTGACGCAGCGCACTGCATCACAGGACACGAGGCACCATGGACAGCTCTCACCTGAAGCTACAGACATGGCCACAAGAGCTCTGTCCTAGGTGTGGAAAAAGTCTTTTGTCCCAAACCCATGTAATAAAGGCTACTCCTTGGAGACCAGGGTTATGCCAGAAAAGTGTGTCTCCCCCCAATGTCTAGCACCCTGTTCCTAGAACCCTGGGCACAGGTACCTCGTGACTCCCACCCTGCAGCTGGGCACCTTCAGCCTCGAAAGGTCTTGGGGGCACTTTGCAGTCCTCAGGCTCCTTGTCCTCTGGGGATCCAAGCTTCAGGGTCTGCTTGACATTCCCACGGAGGAAGGAAGGGCTTTCATTCTGAGCAGAAGGACCCAGCAAGGGCTTCTGAGCACTGTGACTGTTGCTGGGCTCCTGGCCCCTGGGGGCCTCACCCATTGTCTTTCCAACTTCCTCTTCCTCCAAGTCTGCTGCTGACTCCTTGAGGCAGCTGCTCTCACCTGGGGAGGCAGGTTTCTCCAACCCACCTTGGCCATTCGGGGCCTGTCCCCCTGAGTTTGGGGGCTCAAAGCTCTGGCACAGTTCCACAGCCTCTGGCACTCGCAACTCCCTGGCTGCCTGGAGCACCTGATCTCGGTTCCCCGAGGTGAGGGCAAGGTGTCCAGTGTAGAAAAAGTCGAGCAGGAGGCCAAAGATCTCAGCGAAGCCAGCAGGGAGGACAACACTGCCCCCTGAGCCATCCCCATAGAGGCTCTGGAAAAAGTGGCTGCAGCAGGCCAGAACACTCCAGTGGGCTTTGAACACGAGGCCTCCTACATCCAGGGTGGCGTCGCAATACTGGCCCTTCTCTCGCTGCTTGTTAAGCTCCTGCAGGACCCTGACGCTGTGCTGCACGAAGGAGCCATCCATGGTCTGGAGCGGTGGAAGAGACACCTGGGTGGCAAAGCAGAGGAAAAAGCCCCTGGGTGAGAGATAAGAGAGAGAAGCAGTTTGCTTTGCTCAAATATTCAACAGAGGGCAGGCTGGGGTCAAGGTTAGAGGATGGACGCTGAGGACAGTGACTGACCGCCTCCCGGGTTATGAGTGACAAGTGAGCGGCCCGTGGTCGGACTAGCCAGAGAAGACAGGTGGTGAGGGGCTCAGGGAAGGCATGGAGGGGAAAAGAGCGAGGGTCATAAAGAGGGAATGCTTAGAGGAATCTGAGTTTGGGAAGACGAGGAGCAGGACTGGCAGGAGAGCACCAGCAGGGGGAAGTGGGGAAGCGGTCAGGTGAGATGAAGCCACGCTGCGCCTACAGGTTCTGAGTGGTCAGAAGGAAGGCGCCAGTCACACGCTTGTTAGCGGTCGCAATGGCCCTCTTCCTTTCGCCCTCACCCTGTGCCCTTCTCACCTGCGCGGTACCACCCGTGTCGCCGCCACAACACAACCACAGGGACGGAACACCCCCGCCCGACCGCGCACAGACAGCCGCTAGAGCCTGCGCCGGATGTGACGTCAGGGAGCGCCGGCAGGGAGGGGCGACTCGGCCGCGTAAGACCTCTAGATCCCGCCCCTGAGAGCGAGGGTCAGCCAATAGAGAGCAGAAAGGGGCGGGGGCACGCAGCTCTACGCTCCAGAGCCCCGCCTGCTGTGGTTGCCTAGGAACACCAAGCCGCCCTGAAGGGTTTTTCTGGGCTTGATGTGGGTATTTTTATATTGGCTGTTGGTCCCTCTGCATCGCACTTAGACTTGACGCGACACCTTACTCCATCTACCCAGACAGAAAACGCAGCCAAGACCCAGCTACACATTTCATCTCTTTTTTGGAAGCAGGAGTGGCATACATTGCCTAAACAACATGTCTCTGGAAACTCTAGGAACTTTGAAAAATGTCGATAGTTCTATAGAAAGGCTTCAGAGCTTTTGTTCATAGGGTAGCTATGAGTCGTGCTCGACTCGAAGGCAATCAACAACAAGAAGAATTATGTGAAAACGGGATGTGGGTGTGTGGTGTATATTTATGTTCCGTTAAGTCCACTGCACCCTATGCATAATAGCTCTGAACCCTGCCCTATTTGACACACCTACCTCCATTATCCAGTTATTATGTCATTGGGACATATCATCGGAGCTCTGGTGGCCTAGTGGCAAGAAGCTATGCTGCAATTCCAAAGGCACGTGGTTCAACGCCACCAGCTGCTTCATAGGATGATGGGAAATCTTTTCGCAGTGCAATTAACTGCCTCTGAAAACCTGCTGGAGGGTGAGTTATGGGTCTACAGTACACAACATGTCAGTTCATGTCATCCAAGGTCTGCCTTTCTTGCACTGTCCCTCCACCCTTCCAAGCATCCCTCCCGGCCACATCCTACATTCACGAGGCAAAGGAAAATCAACACAAAAATCTGTCTACATAAGGCTGATTTCTGTGAGGCCAGAGTCCAGTCTTCCCAATCCCACCCCCCTTCTGACAACGGGCCTTTCCTTCCACAGTACTGTTCTGCTGTGTTTGCAATGCCACACATAACTCAGAGACCATATTATCTTTTTTTAATCAGGTATATTAGAGAAGTAATGAATTAACAAGTCAGGATCAGGAGTCACTCGGAAGGCAGCCCTTGAGCCCAGAGAGCTCATTTGCTATGCCACAGGCAGGCCTGTCTACCAGCCCCTGGTGCCTTCAGACTGGATTCTGCCCTGGTGCAGCAAGTGTTGCAAAGCTTTTTAAGTTTCCCAATAAATGTTTAATTTTATCACTCTCACCAGAAAGCCTCCTCCATAAAGATGTTCAGTGGGTCAATACACCACTGGAGCTGCATTGCTCCAGGAGCCCAGAAATTCCATGTACCATACTAGTCTTCTGATTCTGCTGCCACTATTTCTCTGTTGCTGCTTTTTGCTATCTCTTACCAACTTCGCTATGACAGCTCTCTTCCTCCATCACCTGAGTTTAGAAAGTTCTCGACATGGGGATTTGGATCCAAAGGTTCCACACCTGACTGCCCATCTTGTGGTTTGTAATCCCCGTCTGCTCTGGCATTGGCCTGTTGTTACTGTTAGGTACTACCAAGTTGAAATTGACTCATAACTAATCGTCCAGTGAGATTTCTTGGGCAGCAAACTGAAGGAGAATTGATTGCTTATTTTTCTCCTGTGGAGCAGGTGGTGAATTAGAACCACGTATCTTTGGTTTGGCAGTACAACTCTTGACCACTAAGCCTCCAGAGCCTAGCAGAATACTAAAACTGACCAATCACCTCATTAGATTTCCATGCACCTTATTTGCATGTGTTCTCTCCACAGAGTCTCCTTGCACCTTATTTACATTATTAGTGGCTGTCTAATCTCATTGGTGAACCACAAGCACCTTATTTGCTGAGGCTCCATCTGACATACATTGGGCATGTTGAGAAGAGGGTCCAACCCTTGGAGAGGGACATTTTGTTTGGGAGGGTGGACAAGATTGATTCAGTAACTGGAGTAATGTGAGTAGGTGTGTCGGAGACAGTAAAGTTGGCTCAGGTTAGAACAGGGGTCAGAGCTGTTATATATAGGGTCACTATGAGTCATAAGCAACTTGACGGCACATAAAAACAACAAACCACAACCCAGTCACTGTGTGGGACATACAAGATCATGCATGATTAAAACAGTCTTTTTAAGTAATAGACTACACCAAAGGCCACTCGCTATTTTATAGAGCCATGCTTCTTCATTTGGAGAATAATTTGCCCCCTCAACCATCTTACCAGTTCAGAATAGCCGTTAACAACTCATGATGGCAGGGCGTTCTGGTGGCCTGGGGCAAAGAAGCTGCACTGCAATCCCGAAGGTGTGCGGTTTGAATCCATCAGATGCTCTGCTGGAGAAGGAGGGGCAAACTCCTCCTGTGCCAGTCTTATCTGATTCAAACGGTACACTAAAGTAAACTAAAATATAAAAATTCAATCAAATTTAACAAAACAGCAAGCAACAAATGCTGGCGAGGTTGTGGAGAAACTGGAACCTTTATTCACTGCTGGTAGGAGTGTAAAATGGTGCAACCACTGTGGAAGGCAGTGTGGCACTTTCTCAAAAGGTTGCGAATAGAAATACCATTTGACCCAGCAATTCCACTACTGGAAATATACCCCAAAGAGACCATAACTGCCACCCAAGGAGATATATGCATATGCGTGTTTATCGCAGCTTTGCTCACAATAGAAAGGAGTTGGAAACAACCTAAGTGCCCATCAACAAATGAATAGATAGAGAAACTGTGGTATATTCACACAATGGAATACTATGCTGCATTGAAAAACAAGGAGCTCATGAAATATTATTCAAAATGGGTGACCCTGGAGGACATTATGCTGAGTGAAGTATCACAGTCACAAAAGGACAAATACTGCATGGTACCACTGTTGTAAAACAGGACTGACATTGGGGCTCAGGGGAGACTGAAAAAGATGGGATAAATACTGTATACTGCATTGAAACAGATGAGGAAGAAAACTGTTTAAAAGGGATATGTGATTAGGTATTTTTGTCATGATGGGAGTCCAGAACGAAGGCTGCATAGTGGAGTGGACCTGGGAGTCGTTATTGTTGTTATGTGCCGTCGAGTCATTTGTGACTCATAGCGACCCTATGTACAACAGCCCTAAACCCTGCTCTATCCTGTGCCAATCGCACTGTCTCTGACACACCCATCCCGAGTACCCCAGTCACTGAATCAATCCACCTCATAGAGGGTCTTCCCCTCCTGCGCTGTCACTCCACTCTACCCAGTATGATGTCCCTCTCTAAAGACCTGTCTCTCCTTACAGCATGTCCAAAGTATGTCAGAGGAAGCCCCAGAATCCTTGCCTCCAAGGAGCAGCCTGGTTTAATCCTCTCTACGATGAATCTGTTTGTTTTCTTGGCAGTCCATGGTACTCTCAATACTCTTCTCCAGCACCACAGCTCAAAGGCATCAATTCTCCTTCTATCCTCCCTAGTCATTGTCCAACTCTCTGATGCGTAACAAGTGATTGCAAAAACCATGGCCTGTATCAGGCGCACCTTAGTCTCCAGAGAGACACTGTTGCTCTTCAGTATTTTGGAGAGGTCCCTAACCGCAGACTTTCCCATCGCAATACGTTTTTTTATTTCCTGGCTACTGGTGCCAAGAGTGTTGACCGTGGAGCCGAGCAAACTGAAGTTGTGAACAATCTCAATCTCTTCGCCATCCATCCTGATGCTACCGATCGGTCCAGTGGTGAGAATTTTTGTCTTCTTAACATTGAGCCTCAGTCCATATTGAAGGCTGCAGTCCTTGACGCTCTGCAGTAAGTGCATGAGGTCCTCCTCAGTTTCAGCGAGCAAGGCTGTGTCATCTGCATAACGCAAATTGTTGATAGATCGTCCACCAATCCTAACGCCACGCCTCTCCTCATAGAGCCCAGCCTCTCGAATAATCTGCTCTGCATACAGGCTGAAAAGGTATGGAGACAGGACACATCCCTGACGTACACCCTTCCCAATTTTGAACCATGCAGTGTTGCCCTGCTCTGTTCTGACGACTGCCTCTTGGTCCAAGTATAGGATTCGCATTAGCATGATTAAATGTACTAGGATTCCCATTCTTCTCAGAGTCAGCCACAGTTTGTTATGATCCACGACCTGGGGGTAGGAATTGTAAAACAATGAAAGAATTTTTCTTTTTCTTTTCCAAAAGGGGAGTGTACTGGGAGGGGGAGGGCTGGGAGGGAAGAAAAGTGCATCATTGAATGAATGGAAATCCAAAGTCTCTGTAAATTTTCATTGAAATAATAATAAAAAAATTTAAAAAAAGAACAAACAACTCAGGATGGCAAAATTTCCTCAAGGTAAGCTCACTCAGATGCCAACTATTGAGGTCTGCTGCAGGTGTCCACCTAATCTGGTCAGGTTTTCCAAAAGTCATCTCAGCTTCACCCTTTTTGGTGTCTGATAAAATTTAACTGAGGGAATATTATTCTTTTGCTCTGAGTGTTAAAAGATTATCAGCACAGCAAAACCTATATGGGATTTTATTCAATTTGACCACTGTGTTCAGCCTAGCAGTACCCCTCACTAAAGTTATACGTTTACAGTTACAGCTTCTACAAATACTGATTTTTACAGTCACAACCTGGTTAGCAACACTCATAGCTGAACTATATAATCAGCATTCTCCCCAACCCTCTCTTCTCCAGATCCACTAGGAAGAAAAAACTCCTTCATGGGTATTTTCCCTTGTCTTCTCTCATTTTGAATATAAATATTTTCACAAAACCATGTAAACAAGTCCTTTTATGCTTTTATCTCCACTCCTCCCCATTTTAAACCAGCCAGTTTCTAAATTGTTTCTGTCAAGGGAGTTCTGATAGTATGGTGCATAATGTATCAGGCTGCAATGTGAGAGACTGGCAGTCTCCTCCCAAAGTGATTTACAGCCTCGGGAATTCAGGAGAGGGTTATTATGAGTCAGATTTCACTCCATGGCAGTGGGTTTGGTATTTTTGGTTTATCAAGCCAATACGCTGAAGACAAAGAATGTTCATTTTTGTTTGTCATTCTAACGTTTTATTGAGGTTTTGGTGAAAATATACACAGTAGGTTAGACACTCATTTGACAATTTCCACACAAATTGTTCAGTAATATTAGTCAAATTTATCACAATGTGTCAATATTCAATCAGTGTTCCATTTTTTCCCCACTCTAGTACTCTCATTTCCATGCCTCTTTTTATTCTCATCTTTTACATAATTGTTGACTTTCTGGTCTTATACTGATCATTTTTAAGTGAGAAACTGATCTTACAAGAAGTTATTCTCCTCTATTTCAAGAATAGGTGGTCTTCATTATTGTAGAAGAGTATAAGGGTTTGGGAGGGGTGGGAGAGGCTGGAAGCAGAGGGATGTGGATGTGCAGGGGAAGTGGGGATTAATCATTGGGTTGTAAAATTTGAAAGGTGGGAGGGTGAGGGAAATGGAAAGAATTTGTTTGAATTTGTATTAGAATTTTGTAAATAAGCTAGTGAAAAGAAGAAAGTGAACTTGGGGAGGGGGAAAGGAGGGAGAGAGGGTAAAATTTGCAACAGTAAATGAATGAAAATCTAACTTCTGTAAACTTTTGTTAAAATGACAATTAAAATAAAGAACTTTTTTTTTTTAAAATTTGTGGTCTTTGGAGATAGACATGATTTTAGGTTTAAAACAGGGCTTCACACCACAACAAGATAAAGATAAAAAACCCAACTGAAAAATGGGCAGAGGATATGAATAGACACTTCACCAAAGAAGACATTCAGATGGCCACCAAGCACATGAAGAAATGTTCAAAATCCCTAGCTCTAAGAGAGATGCAAATCAAAACAACTACGAGATATCATCTTTCCCCAGTAAGAATAGCAAAATTTAACAGGACAGCAAACAACAAATGCTGGCGAGGTGTGGAGAAACTGGAACCCTTATTCACTATTGGTGGGAGTGTAAAATGGTGCAACCACTACAGAAGGTGGTACGGCGCTTTCGCAAAAGGTTGCAAATAGAAATGCCATTTGACCCAGCAATTTCAGTTCTGGGAATTTACCCTAAAGAAACCACAACTGCCACCCAAGCAGATAAATGCACACCCATGTTTATTGCGGCTTTGTTCACAGTAGCAAAGAGCTGGAAACAAACCAAGTGCACATCAACAAATGAATGGATAGAGAAGCTCTGGTATATTCACACAATAGGATACTATGCTGCATTGAAAAACAAGGAACTCATGAAATACTATGCTAAGTGGATGACCCTAGATGACATTATACTGAGTGAAATATCTCAGTCACAAAAGGACAAATATTGCATAGGGCCACTATTGTAAAATAAGACTGGCGTTGGGGTTGACGGAAGGCAGAGAAGAAGGGGAGGAATGATGTATACTGCATTGCAGCAGATGAGGGAGAGAGAACTGTTTAAAAGGGATCTAGGATTAGGTATTATTGTCATGACAGGATTCTTGAAGGTTTTACAGTGTAGTGGGCTTGCGGGGAGGGATTGCATGGCAATGAAAGAGTTTTTCCTTTAATCATCAAGGAGAAAAGTGAATTGGGGGGAGGGGGTGGGCAGGGAGAAAAGAGAAACAATGAATATCTGTAAATACTAAGTCACTGTAAACTTTCATTAAAATTAATTAAAAAAAAAGCAATACCAAACATTTAAAACACACACACACAGAAAAAAATAAAAAAACACCCCCAAAAACCAGGGCTTCAAACTGGTTCAGTCATGGCCAATGAAATGAATGGATCAAAATCTCAAAAATTTGAATGTAGGTGTGGTAATTGGAACAGGAAAAATTATGGATTGGAGTTCTAAAATGGGAGACTTACTTAGAAGAATTGGAGTGATTCATTTCAAGGGCTTGATGTGGGAGACTAGGTTACCACAGGGTTACAGAGATTCCTTGAAAATAAGGATGGTCTCACATACTTTGTACATGTTATCAGAAGGAGCAACTCCCAGAAGAAAGACATCATGCACCTCAATGAGATAGATTAATGTCATAGCCGCAACAATGAGTTCAAACAGGTAGCAATTGTGGGCATAACGCAGGATTAGAAAGTGTTTCATTTTTTTGTACAGACAGCCTCCATGAGTTAGTCAGTGGTAACTAACAACAACATCGTGACTCATGACCAAAGCAGTGCAGTCAGTCCGTAAGTCAAGTTGAGAATTTTGAACAGAAAACTATTGTTTCAGTCTCTTCCATTTAAGATTGGGGTACTATGTAACATGCAGGCTGCCCTTATTTTCTAGAAAGGACATTTACTTTCTAGCAGGGCATAAGCCCATGATTCCTGTTATTATTCTGGTTTAGCCATATTTTACCAATTCTGATCCGTTCTGGTTTTGATTTATCAGCTATGGATAAACCGGGAAACACTGGTTTAAAGTTTTGGTTTAAAGACTGTCTCAGGATAGGAGTCTCAACAAGTTCTCTGTCCCACTTTGTCTCGATTTTTTTTCTTTTTATTTTAAGAATTGTGGTTCTGACCTGTATTTTTCTCCTATTCTATTCAGGATCAACTATTGTGACCCCAATAAAACAGTCAGGGGTTATATTTGGGCACCACCTATTTCTCCTGGTCTCAGGGTAGATGAGTTTGTGGTTTAAGGACTTGTTTCTTCTTTGAGATTTCAGTTACTTTCTTAAGGTTTTTGGCTCCTGGCAACTAGAGACCCATACCTATCTGTAGCTGTTAAGTTGACCAAGTTAAAAGAACAAAAAGTAAAGAATGTCATCAGGGGAAAAAGACACTCTTCTCTAAAGCAAGACAAAACAAACACTCTGTCTTATTGTTGTGTGTGTGCAAAGCCATTTTCTCTTGCCAGTGCTGTCTTCTGATAAAGATGTAGTTATGAAAACAGAAAAGGTCAATAGAGAGAAAAAAACAAAACAGTAAAAAACATCTTGGGGAGGAACCCAAAAAAGTTTTTAAAAATTTAAAAGGGGAAAATAAAAAACCATCTTAGAGTCCAGTTAACATGTTTTATTGCTTACATAATGAGAAGCTTCTCAATAAAAGTTATGAGAATGTACAGGTAGGAAGGACATGCAACCATGAGTTCCTCTCTCCTTACTTCTTTGACTAAAGTCTTGAGAAGTTCGTTCCAGTGCTTGGCATTTTCCTGAAGGTCAGAGAAATGCAACAGTGTGCCTTAGGTGGACGCTCACGTGTTTTTAAGACCCCAGATGCTACACTTCCTAGGATACAGATGGTTTTTGTGAACTATGATAGCCAGCAAGTTCCTTGATCTGAAGAATCTTCTGTTCCATTTAGAACCTTGAGCATCTTCATCGGCAGGCAAAATTCAGTCCAGAGCAAATCACCAAGGTGCAGCCATTCATATCAGCGCATAATGTCAAACATCTTTCTCCTGTCAATTAGCTGCCTGGAGCCTGGACTAAGGTCTTTCTATGAGTTGGACCCAAAGGCTTCTTGCGACCCCAGGGCCTTCAAGCAGCAGAGGCTTATGGTATTGCCCCAGTCAAGCAGAACCCCAGCGCCTTGTATAATCCAAGATGGAGGCCTGAAAGTGCTCTGTGCTGTTGAGATCTGGGCGGCAAAGGATCACGTAACACTTGGGGAGGAAATAGCCACTGAAGCCGCCCCACAGGCTGATCATCACAGCCAGCACATTGACAAGGGGCAGGTACTTGCCCTCATAGACGCTGGCTATGGTGAAGAAGGTGATCCATGCCACAAAATTGAGGAGCAGGCTGAAAGTGACACACTTGGCCTCATTGTAGTTCTCTGGCAGGTCTTTGCCCACGTAGCTACAGGCAAAGGCGCTGAAGGAGAGCAGTCCGTTGTAGGTAAAAGACAGCATGAAGCCCAGTGAGTTAGCCTGGGTGCACTCAAGCATCACCAGGTGGGGGAAACGCTGGTATTCCCTGGTGGGCAATGGGGTCCACACTACAAGCCACAATAGACAAATCAGCAACTGGCCCATTGAGCTGAGCACTACAAACAGGCCAGCACCATGGTTTTGGACCCAGGCATGATAGAACGTGGGAACCTTGGCAGAAAACTTGAAGATGAAGACCAGCTGGAAGGAGCGCATAGTCAGGCAAGACAGGAAGATGGTGAAGCTGAGGCTGAAGGGAGCCAGGCGCAGCAAGCAAGTAAGCAGCGTGGGCTTCCCAAAGAAACAATAGAGGCTGCAGCTTCCCACCGCCAAGGAGCCCAGCATAAGAAAGCACATCCTGCCCCCCGCTGACCGCACCACAGGGGTATCAAGGTGCCAAGCAAACAGGCCAGCAGTCCCAGCCACCAGCAACAGCAACAGTGTATTAGCCACCAGCAGCACACAAGAGATGGGTTCATCCCAGGTGATAAATACTATGTTGCGTGGGAAGCAGGTCAGGCTTCTCTGGGGTGACCATTCTTCTTTGCCACATGGCTGGCAGCGATAGAGGTCTGCAAGAGAAAGTGGTCAGGGCTTCTGAGAGCTTCATGAGCAGAGCTGGACTCTGAGCCAGAGAAGTGAGACTCTGCCAGGTTCATGGAGATGAGATACCCCTGAGGGAGACTCTCAAGACAAGTGAAATGCCCATGTAGGTTCTGTGTGATATCATAAGAAATGGTAAACCAAGAGTTCCCTAGGAGAGGCTTTGTCTCACTGGTAGCTCTGCCCACATTCCAGTGAGGCTGACTGGGTGCAAACAGCCAAACCCTAAGGACACAAATATTCAACTCCATCCCAAAAGCTTCCACTAACCAGTTCCACCTTCCTGAGAGGCAGCCTTGTGCCTTCTCTAACTCTGAGGACAGAAATCCACTGCATTAAGTAGATTCTGGCTCATAGGGGCCCTCCATCAGGTTTTCAAGATCTTGAAATCTTCTGTTTCCAAGGCTGTAAATCTTTTAGGGTAGTCTATCCATCTCTCTCCTTCAGAGCAGCTGGTGGATTCAAATGACTGACCTTTTGGTTAGAGGCACAACACTTAAGGCACTACACTACCAGAGCTCCTTCTGAGAACAAAAGAGATGTGAAATTCCACCACAGTAAAAGAATTTTCTTCTCCAGAAAATAATGTGGCCTTAGTACCCTCCAGCTATGGGTTGGTTCCGACTCCACTCCACGACACACAATAACAAGAAGGGAATGCTTTCTTCCTCCCAGTGTTGAGTTCCTAAGGCCACATTCTTCTATTTATGCTGAAGTGAGAGTGAGATTTCATCTCTCTTCTGTTGTCAGCAGGAGCTTTGGAAGTGCAGTGCTGCTCCGATCTCAGACTTGCATCACTAGGCAGGATAGAGGTGTCTGGACACTGGTTTTGTTAGTGTCTGCTTTCAAGGTGCTAGGGTGCTAGCTGTCTTTGTGAAGAACAATCAAAGAAATTCTATATAGATAGGATACAAAAGAAACAGTGATGTTATGAATATGTCCACCTCCCAAATACTTATATGTAAGTAGGGAGCTCTTGTGGCTGAGTGGTAAGAAGCTGTGCTGCAATCCCAAAGGCATGGGGATCGAATCCACCAGCTGCTCTATAGGAGACGGATGGGCAATCTCCTCCCAAGCAATTAACTGTCTCTGAAAACACATCAGAGGGTCAGCTATGAGTCGGTTCTGATTCTATGGTACACAACAATAGGAATGTGATATTACTTTATTGCCAGGAGGGACTAGTCCTTGGAGGACATCATGCTTGGAAGAGTAGAGGGTCAGCACAGGACAGGAAGATCCTGAATGAGATGGATTGACACAGTGACTATAGTAATAGTGTGAGGTGTGTCAGGGACCATCAGGTAGCTCAGGATAGGGCAAAGTTAAAAGTCATTATTCACAGGGCACTCTGGTGGCCTAGTAGCAAGGAGCTGTGCTATAATCCCAAAGGCTTGCAGTTTGAATCCACTAGATGCTCTGCTGGAGAAGGAGCGGCAATCTCCTCCTGTGCCAGATGGATCCAATTCGATGGCACACACACTAAAAATAATAAATTTTAAAAAAAATAAAATAAAAATAATTTTTTAAAAAGTCATTATTCACAGGATCACCATGCATTATAATTAACAGGGTACACAACAACAACAATGTGATACAGTGTAGAAGTTATGTGATGATTCCCCCCCATGATTTGATAAACCAAAATGTTGTAAAGGATTAAATTTAGAATGCAACACCCTTAATTTCATCAGAACCTTAATTTGATGTAGAGGGACTTCTAGGGTGTGGTCTTTACCACCATCTGTTTCACAAGAAGTGAAAATAGAGGAAAGGAATCAAGAGTAGGGGCCTCAGTATCACCAACAAAGAATTGCCAGGAGTGGAGTGTGTCCTATTGGACTCAGGTCTCTGCTTTAGGAAGAAGCTCCATGGCACCCGGGAAGGCTAAGACACATGGAGATTGCCAAGAAATGACAATCCCACAAACACCGAGAGAAACAAAGACCTTCCCCCACAACTGACAGAGAGGAACTTCTCCCAGCGTTGGCACCTGAATCTGGACATCCCATCTCCTAAATGGTAAGAGATTTAAATTTTTACTCTTGAAGCCACTCACCTGCATGTTTCTGTCACAGGAGCACTAGATAACAGAGACAGATGGCTACATGCATTTAGATGAGCAGCTCAAGTTAGGAAAAAGTCCGCACTAACAGAGGTGAGGACCAACACTGCAAAACCCAAGCCAATGTCATCAGGTTGACTTGAACTCAATGGCTGTCTTCCCCCATGTTTCTGAGGCTGTGAATCCTTAGAGAAGGAGGTTCCTGATCTTTCTCCCTCAGAGCAGCTGGTGGGTTTGACCTGCTCACCTTTCCATTATTAGCATCCCAGCATGTTATCATATTATGCTGCCAGGGCACCTTAGGAGGTGTGAGGGGATCTAGTGAAGACATACCTGAACTGAGGCTTTCAGTTGATCATGTCATCCTATTTATGAGAATTTTTTCGTTTAGGTTTTGGTTTTTTTTTTTTTACTTTGTAAAGTTTTATCCAAATCTCAGATAAATCTTCTCAACAAATACTAAAAAATGAGACGCAGAATTATTTCTAGTGCCATGACCTCTTCCAGAAGCTTGCCACTCCCCAGCCACTCCCATCAAGAGTTGGTCTGCTTTCCCTCTACTTCAGCCTGGTTCTTCTTAAGACTCTTTCCACCCCTACAGCGCCCCCCCCACCAACCCTTAAGACTTTTTGATAGTTGCCAGGACCAAGAAAGCAGGGATTAAGTTCTCTTCTTTGATTTGTTTTCCTGTTAATTACTTCCCTGTCTAATCAGTTAACCTTCTCTACCTTAGATATTAGGAAGCAGGAGCGGGATCCACTTCCTAAACCACATGCCTCCGGAAACTCTATGAACTTTGATAAATGTCAGTAGTTGTAGAGGAGCTTTAGGCCTTTTTTCTTTTTTTTTTTCTTTCTTTAGGCCTTTTGTTCATAGGGTCGCTATGAGGGGTGCTCGACTAGAAGGCAATCAACAACAAGTTAACTTCCAGTGAGCTCTGGTGGCCTAGTGGAAAGAAGCGGCACTGCAATCCCAGAGTTGTGTGGTTTGAATCCACGAGATGCTCTGCCGGTGAAGGAGGGACAATCGTCTCCTGTACCAGTCAGATCTGATTTGACGGTACATACACACAAAAAAATAATAAAATTAAAAAAAAAACCCACGAAACAGTTAACTTCCGATTTGTACCTAACCACAGTAGAGTCCCTGGGACCAGGGATACATATGTGGTCTGAGGCAGGGCCTCTCATCTAAAGACCCTGGGAACGGGGTCACTCACCGCTCTTGTTGAGGAAAGTTCCAGCTTCACAAGGCATACACTCAAAGCAACAGTGGTGGATGCCGGTGATCATTCGCCAGAACCCACTATCACAGTCTTCGCTGCACACAGACTTGGGTACCTGGAGGAAGACCAGATGGGCTGAAGACATGTGAAGAGGCCCAGGTCGAAGAATAATCCCCATGTGGCATGAAAGGGACAGAATCTCTGTGTCTGTCCCCAGAACTCACTCCCAACAGTATGAGCCAGTGCCCACCAGGCATCTGACTCCTAGCCCGTGGGCCTTCTCAGGCAGAGCTGGGTAGGGCATGGCGGGCTGGCACTTGAGTTCTCCCTCCTACCTAGTAAAAAGTATAAGTGATACCCCCACAATACTCATAAGCCAGTTACCCAAGAGACTCGACATGCCCACTACCTCATTGTTTTTTCCCCGCCACTGGATTTTGGCCTTATTGATGTTCAGTCGAACTGGAGGCCACGTGGAAGAGCCGATGACCTTGAAGGTCCACTTCAGACCATGCCACTCCCAGGCAATTATGTCATAGCCACTGAGGGAGTCACCATTTTCATTAAAGGTTATAGTGTCCTTCCGGAGCTGCTGCAGAAGCTGAAACATAAAGGGATCGTGAAGTCATGACAGAGGACACAAGTGGCACTTCTTCTGACCACCCAGCTCCCCATCCCTGCCTGGGGCCTTTGTAGTCTTCTGTCCTGCTCAGAAGTCCTGGTCCTTAGAGACTCCTGTCCTCCTGGGAATTCTCTCAACCCTCCCAAGCAGCTTCCTGAGAGGAAGACTTTAATCAAGTTTTGTACTGGGAGTTTTAAAGCAGATAGAGTGGAGCGAGGCAAGGTTTAAAGAAGAGAAGGAACCAGTCTTCACATGGAGCTTCCCCACCCCAACACCCTAAAAGTGGTCAGAGAAAGGCCCCAGTGAGTGATGTATGTGTCTCGGGCTGGGCTGCCTTACCTGCCAGGGGTAGACAGTGCCCACAGAACAGGCTCCTGACTGGCAGCCCAGGAGGTGGTGAAGGCCATGAGCCACCGCGTACACAGCCCGGTAGGAATTGTAGGCAGAACTCATGGAGAAGGTCCCAAGTGAAGGCATCCTGTTCCTCGTGAATGCCTGGCATTTTGTACAGAGCTGGTTGCTGCTGCACCAGGAGCCAGAGGGGCACAGCCCAAGTACCTTCTTCTCTGCCCGGACATAGGCCTCTTCGAAGTCCTTCAGGCCGGGGACCACGTTCTGCTGGATGGCCACACCCAGCACCATGCCGATGTTCTGGATCCCGGGCACTCTGGTGATGTGCCTGGAAATGGCCCAGGCCTCTGAGGCAACCCACACCTTGTTGGTCAGCTTAGCCAGCAACACAGACTCAAAGAACACCTTAGCCAGCTCCCTGCTGGCAAAAACCACCACAACAGTGGTCTTTGCCTGGTCCAGGTTAGACATCATCTCCCGCATCCTCTTGTCGCCTGCCTGTGCTGAGAAGGGCACAATGTCCTTAAAGGCGATGCAGATGCCCTGCTGGCTGGCCTGCTCCTCCAGCGCCTGCGCCCCAAGCCTCCCATAGTCACCGTCGCTGCCCACCAGGGAGATCCAGACCCAGCCAAACTTCAGCAGCAGCAGCACCATGGTCTCCACTTGGTTCTCATCGCTGGGGATGGTGCGCAGGAAAGAGGGGTACTTCTGCTTGACACCAAGCACTGCGCTGGTGGCCTCGTAGCTAATCTGCAGAAAGTTTAGCACAGCAAGGTCACAGGGGTCAATCTCAGTGAGGAGCCTAACCTCAGTGAGATGTGGTCCCTGCCCTGGCTCTCAAGAGAAGCAGTATGTGAAATGGACAACTATAGACAGAGAACAGAGCTGACTCCACAGGGGCAGTCTCTGCCTGGTAGACAAGTGGGAGGGGCCACACATCCTAAGCAGAGGGAGCAAAACCTAAATGCAAGGAATGAAACAGGAGTGTGTATTTGAGGACCTTTAGGGAGTCCCACTGGGCTGGAGGAGCAATTGTTAGAGTAGGTATGTAGAGGGTAGCATCAAAAAGTTGGCACTGAGTGACCAGGCCTTTCTTCCGAGGTACCACTGCTTGTACTTGAACTACCAACCTTCTCATTTGCAGCAGAACACATGAACTATTTGCATTATTCAACCAGGAAAGCCTTAGTTCTGCATGGGCTTCATTCTGTATGTCATGGAGACAGCCTAGGGATTGATGTCAAAAGCGCTCACTCCGCTGTGTAAACAAGCTAAAAAGCAGTATGGCTTTGATTTCAAAGAGGAGTACCGTGGAAAGGACTCAGGACTGGAGTTAGGGAGAATGCACAGGGGCTTCTGGCATCAGGGAGGTGAGAGATGGTGATGGTCTGGGTTAAGGCTGGGCAATGGCAAGGGGGAAGAAGGAGGGCTTGGCCAAGCTGAGAGTGGCTTTGGTAACTGGCCCAGCCCCGGGTGGGGCAGGAATGGAGATAGGACTTCTGGATTTCTGACTTGAGATGGTTGTGTGGCTCACTGGAGAGATTCATTTGAGGCCCATTGGCTCCAAGAGCTTGAGATGTGTGGTGAACATCTGGAGATGAGGTTTTGGTGCCTGGAAGTTGGAAGTGGCCTGTGTTGCATTGGGAGAGGAAAGAGGAAGCCAAATCTGTGCTCAGAGGCTCAGGGGATGAGGGTCCTCGTAGGAGACTGAGAAAGAGTATAGGGGGAGGAGGACCATAAATGCCAAGGGGGACACTTATGTCCTTCTTAGAAAGACTGGCCAGAATGTCACAGGAAAGCCATGTTAGATACAGAAAAGTTGAAAACTACCCATCAGACTTGGGCAGGTAGACGGCTTCCAGATCACAACAAGGACAAGAATGTTGAGAGTTCAACACGGGGTCATGGGGCAAAAGAAACAAGAAGAAGCAAAGAAGAACAGAGAACTCTGCTGAGATTTTAAAAAAGAAAGGGGCAGCGATAAAATCATATGGACACTTTTTTGGCAGTGACCTCGGCAAGGATGTCCTTCATCCCTCTCCAGAAGAGGAGAAGAGGAAACACAAGAAGAAGTACCTCCTGCAGAGTCCGAATTCCTATTTCAAGGATGTTATGAGAAGCGGAGAAAGGCCCAGACTTCAACAACTGGGAAATGCTGGAGTGATGCCATAACACCACCCCAGTCTTCGTGTTGGCTGCTCCACTGTTCTGTTAGCCAACAGGAGAAGAAGCGAGGATTACAGAAGGATGCTCCTTCTGACGGAAGCAGCATTAAGAAAAAAACACTGAATGAAGATGAATGGAAAATTGGGGGGGGGGTGGAAATAGAGGTGAGGATGAGGGGGAGGGTGTTAATCGTGGGGTTGCACATTTGATGGGTGGGTGGGGTGAAGGAAATGGGAAGGATCGTTTGTGAAAAGCAATGTAGTCAAACTTTGTAAATAAATTAGAATAAAATAAAAGTTTGGCAAGCTCTGGTGGCCTAGTGGCAAGAAGCTGCACTGCAATTCCAGAGGTGTGCAGTTTGAATCCACCAGATGCTCTGCTGGAGAAGGAGGGGCAGTCTTCTCCGGTGCCAGTCAGATCTGATTTGACAGTACACACACACACACACAAATAAAACAAGAAATAAAATTTAATAATCTATGTAATCTAAAATAATTTTAGGAGTCTATTAAATTCATTACAGCACTCTGCAAAATTAAAAAGATGAATGGGAAATAAAAAAAGATGAATGGGATATTATCTCAATAAATTAAAAAAAGATCATGCGGACAGTGCTGAGAGTGGAAACAACTGGAAGGGTTTGGAGGACAAAGAAGGTTTCAGGGAAACTAACTGGTAGAGGAGGAGCCTTAGGGAGAAATTGGTAGAGGAGGGGGTGATAGCTGATGGGCTGAGACAGAGGGGACAGGATCAGAGTAAGCGTCTCTGAGTCAGAAAAGAAGGCAGACATGTGTGTGTGTGTGTGTGTGTGTGTTGGGTAGATGTATTCATTGGGTGGCAAACTCAGGATGTCCGGTTCTCAAGGAAAAGGATGGCACATCTGAGCGGAGGGTGAAGGCAGAGGGCACGTGGCCAAATGTAGTTGTTTTGAAGGGAATGGGTTTCTTCAGGAAGTGAAGGCAGCAAAGTTTCGAAGCAACACACAGAAAGGAAGGCGCCCAGGGCAGTGGTCATGAATGGTGTTCACCTCTGCCACCTGAACCATCTGGCCATGCTGGCTTCCATCACCCAGCAGCTCACCTGCCCTGCCTGCCCCACCCACGCTGGGCTTGCAGAGGGGGAGATAGGCATACCACTGGGGCCCCGGCTTACCAAGGGCATCAGGAAGGGGCTGAGCAGGGCTGCAGCAGTAGTGGCATGGTTGGTGTTGTCAGGCCCAATCACCGCCATCACCTTGGGGGAGTAGTGGGTCAGGTTTCCCTGCATCTCTATGTATTGTGTCCCCCGCAGTGTGAGAACGCTCAGGGCAGCGTACACATTGGAAGACTCAGAGCACACATCATAGAGCTCGTAGCCCAGGGTGACGTTGGGTAGCAGGGATGTGGAGTTATTTATTTCCTCAATGGCGAACCGCATGGCCTGGAAGAGGTGGTAGCCGTGGCCGTTGAAGCTGCTGGGCCTGTAGGAAAGTAAAGCCAAAGAAGCCAAGAAAGGCAGGTGTAGCTGAGACTCTACCAAACCAGTTGCCCCCAATTCCTTTCCAACTCATGGTGACCCCATAAGTGTCAGGGTAGAACTGTGCTCCATGGAGTCTTCAGCACCTGATTTTTCAGAAGTTGATTAACTTTCTTCCAAGGCACCTCTGGGTGAACTCTAAATCCTGCTCTGGTTAGCAGCTGTGCAGTTTAAACAGTTGCACCACCCAGGGACTACAAAACACTAGCTACCACTTGACAGCTTCTTTTATAGCTAAATCTGCCAACAACCTGCGGAGTCAAGCTGACTCTGACTCATATAAGTTGTTAGCTGACCCTCCAGCAGGTTTTCAAAGTCACCACCACAAATTGCATGAAAGGAGATTGCTCATCTTCCTCCCTTGGTGCAGCTGGTGGATGCAAACTGTGTGCCTTTGGGATGGGGGAGGTGAAACTCTTTACCACTAGGCCACCAGAATTCCTGGCTCAATGGATTCCCTGTATGTCAGAGGAGATCTGTATTCCTTAGGAATTTCCTCCCCATTTATTTTTTTCATTTGAGTGAAAGTTTACAAATCATCTTTTCAATCATTTGCATACATTTTTATTTTATAACATTAAATTGTTGTTGTTGTTGTTGTTGTTATGTGCTGTCGAGTCGCTTGTGACTCATAGTGACCCTATGTACAACAGCTCTAAACTCTGCTCTGTCCTGTGCCAATCTCACTGTCTCCAACACACTCATCCCAATTGCCCCAGTCACTGAATCAATCCATCTCCCAGAGGGCCGTCCCCTCCTGCGCCTGCCCTACACCCTCCCAAGCATGATGTCCCTCTCCAAGGACCGATTCCTCCTTACAACATATCCAAAGTATGTCAGATGAAGCCCCAGAATCCTTGCCTCCAAGGAGCAGCGCGGCTTAACCCTCTTCAGGATGAATCTGTTTGTTTTCTTAGCAGTCCATGGCACCCTCAGCACTCTTCTCCAACACCAAAGCTCAAAAGCATCAATTCTCCTTCTATCCTCCCTGGTCATTGTGCAGCTCTCTGATGCATAACAAGTGATGCAAAGACCATGGCCTGTACCACACGCACCTTAGTCTCCAGAGACACACCGGTGCTCTTGAGTACTTTAGAGAGGTCCCTAACAGCAGACTTTCTCATCGCAATATGTCTTTTAATTTCCTGGCTACTGATGCCAAGAATGTTGATTGTGGAGCCAAGCAGACTAAAGCTGTGAACAATCTCAATCTCTTCACCATCCATCCTGATGCTGCCAATTGGCCCAGTGGTGAGAATCTTTGCCTTCTTGACATTGAGCCTCAATCCATATTGAAGGCTGCAGTCCCTGACCCTCAGCAGCAAGTGCCTCAGGTCCTCCTCAGTTTCAGCAAGCAGGGTTATGTCATCTGCATAACGCAGATTGTTAATAGATCTTCCACCAATCCTGATGCCACAATTCTCCTCATAGAGCCCAGCCTCCCGGATGACCTGTTCTGCATACAGGTTGAAAAGGTATGGAGACAGGACACATCCCTGGCATACACCCTTTCCAATTTTGAACCATGCAGTGTTTCCTTGCTCTGTTCTGACGACTGCCTCTTGGTTCAAGTATAAGTTTCGCATTAGCATGATCAAGTGTTCTGGGATTCCCACTAATTAATACCAATAATTACAATGTCTCATCAAAGCCTTATCGTGGACCCTATAGGGTTTTCAGTGGTTGAATTTTTGGCAAGGAGATCACCAAATGTACCTTGGATAGACTTACACCTCCAACCTTCTGCTTTGTTGTTAGTTGTTCTTGTTAGGGGTTTCGAGTGAAGTATGACCTATAGTTACCCTATGAACAACAGATAAGTATCCTAACCTGTACCATCCTCACACTTCCTGACACACTAGAGCCTATGGTGGCAGTCACCATTACAATAAACTTGGTCAAGGGCCTTGCTCTCCTTTGCTGTCCCTCTACATTTCCAAGAATCATGTCCTTCTCCAAGGAACAGCCCCTCCTATCAACATGCCCAAAGTATGCGAGGCAAAAAGCCTCATCATCTTTGCCTCCAAAGTGCATACTGGATGCACCAAAGACGTATTTGTTTGTTCTTTCAGCCATCCATGGGATGTTCAGTGCTCTTCTCCAACACCAGAGCTCAAAGGCATCAATTCTTCTTGTCATCCTTATTCATTGTCCAGTTTTCAGATGCATAACAAGTAATCGGCAGGCTAGGGCCTGAATCAGACAACCCTAGTTAGTGACTGAGCATATTACCTATTTGTACCACCCAGGTTGAATTTTTTCACTTTGACTCACATACTTTTGGGCATATTGTCTAGGGTATCCAGCCCAGGAAAAGGATATCATACGTAGAAAGATGGACCAGAGAAGAAGAGGAAGGTACTCAAGGAGCCAGATTAACACAGCAACTGCAACAATGAATTTGAGCACAACACAGATGAGGAGGAGGATGCAGCATGGGAAAGGGTTCAGATCTATTACATGTGAGATCACTATGAGTCAGTCAACTCTGTGACACCTAATAGTAACAACCACCTAGGGAGTAAGCCAAGACCTTCTGCCCTCCTAAAATCTTAGAGATAAACCCCGGGAGGCACAGAGTTAAATGCTTAACTACTGAGTAGAAGGTCTTCCCGATTGCTAGCTATGAATCTGAGAGCTGGATAATGGCTATGGTTGACAGATGAAGAATTGACACCTTGGGGGGAGGGGGGTGCAACAATGAATGAATGGAATCCCCAAATCTCTGTAGATGTTCATTGAAATGAAAAATAAACAACCTAAATTTAAAAAAAAAAGTTGGGTTTTATAAGCTAAAAAAAAAAAAAAAGAATTGACACCTTTGAGTTGTTGTGTTGGAGAAGAGTACAGAATATACCATGGACTGCCAAGGGAACAAGCAAGTCTATCTTGGAAAGGATGAAAACAGGCTGCTCCTTGGAGGCAAGGATTTTGACATTCTGTCTCACAAACTTTGGGCATGTTGCAGGAGGGACCAGTCCATGGAGAAGGACATCATGCTTGGAAGGGTGGAAGAATAGCATAGAAGAGGAAGACCGTAGATAAGATGGATTGACATAGTGACTGTGGCAATGGGGTCTGGTGTGTCAGAGATGGTGAAGCTGGCTCACAGGATAGGGCAGGGTTCAGGGCTACTGTTTGTAGGGTTGCTGTGAGTTGGACTTGACAGCACATAACAACAACAGTAACTACATGAAAACCAATGGAGCAGTTATACTCAGCACACATGGGGTTGCTATAAGTTGGAGCTGATTTGATGCTAACTGGATAGACAGGGTAATACAGTCCCTGATAGGCAAGACCTCATCCTGGAATAAGGGGGCATCCAGTTCTTAAAAGACTCTTGCTTGATCCTCACCATCTGGCAATGTACCAAAGCTAGAAAAGAACTTGAATAGAATCCTAACACAGGAGCAGAGGTAAAGGAGCCAAGTTCTTGTTGGGATAAGCATATCAGCACTGGGCGGCTTGGACATCCTGCAGTACAGAAACGTGCTCAACCTTGTAAACCAAGCATTTCACATCAGACACTCACAAGTGATGCTTAGGACTAATGCTAGGAACTGTCACCTGGAACCTCAGGGATATGGGGGACATGACTCAATCCTTTGAAATACTTGGAGGACTCCAGCAACATGACATCTGGAGCCAGTTTCCTTGTCTCCCCCTGCTTCTCCCCTTCTCCATGTGCTACGACCCAATCTCTCTCCCCACCCAGGTTTTCTCTTTCCACAGCTGGGCCATTCTGCTCCTCTGTCCCGAGTCAACCACCAGCTGAGGGTCCCTGTTGCAGACTGAGGGTAAAGTATTTTTATAATTATTAATAATGATACAGACGACCAATTAGGCTTCCCACAGGTCCCAATTCTCCAGGACTCGCACAGATCATAAGCAACTCTCTGCTTTAAAAGAAAAGCAGATGTTCTTCTTGTCTTGATTTTCAAAGTTCATGAAGTGGAGGGTCTAGGTAATCCCCTGAAGCATCCACTAGAGTGTATCTCCCCACTTGCAAGAGGAGAGATTATAGAGTTTGGATTTTGGATAGCAGTCAGGAGGACATAGATCTCAGCAGTAACATGTCTCCAAGTGGGCACTCAGCAGGTGCCTGGGAAGGTCTAGCCCATGATTGAAGGTGGCTCAAAGATGGGTGCTATAGCTGGATAGAAAGATTGGGGTCCTTCAAGAGAGGGGCTGGACCACACAAAGCTGCTGGCTGAAGAGGGCGGGTCAGAGGCCCCTGCAGGCACCACTAAATGCTGACTGCTGACTCTCACTCACCTGTCACATAAGGTCACCTCAGGTTTATGTCTCACCTCCAGACATTCAGCATGAAGAGGGAACAAGCCTGCCAGGAGGTAGTCCCCGGGAAGGCTGAAGTCAGGTGAGGACTCCATTTCTTGACAACCTAAAGTCCAGCAGACGAGGGATAGCTGCAGGCCAAGTAGGTGAACGGCCTGGATGAGCATCCTGGAAGAATGGCTGCACCTGGCATGGCTGAAGAGCTGCTGGGAGGTTGAACTGTTTAAATAGGATCCTGGGCAGCTACTGGCTGAATAGCAATCTCATGCCTGTGAAAGGGGTAGGATGGGAGGGGTGTTTGCCCCGGGCTTCCGGGCCTGCAGTCCCTGGCAGGGCACAGGCATGATGCAAACCAGGAGGCCTTCCTCTCCGGGTGGTTGTGGTTTAGTCCCTGCACTGAAAACCCTGTCCTTTTCTGTTTCAGGTGATGAGAGGGTGGAGAGAATGGTTGTCACCCTGTCACCTGGGTCAGCCTCAGTTTACTCACTGAGATATGACTAGGAGTTGCCGCCTCCAGTCCCCAATTTCATTTTATTTTTAAATTTACAGCAGCCAGGAAATTAAGACATATTGCGATGGGAAAGCCTGCTGTTAGGGACCTCTCCAAAGTACTGAAGAGCAATGGTGTCTCTCTGGAGACTAAGGTGCATCTGATACAGGCCATGGTCTTTGCCATTACTTGTT